GATATCCAATTGTCCCAGCACCATTTGTTCAAGAGACCATTCTTTCTTCATTAGATGGTCTTGGTCATATTAATTGACCACAATATTACAATATATAAATATATCAAAGTAACACACTGTATACCTTAAACAGATGCAGTGTTTTATGTCAGATTTTTCAGTAAAAACCAGTTGATTGGCCAAAGATGTATGGCTTTATTTAGGGACTCTTAATTTAGTGTCATTGATCTATATGTCTATATTTATGCCAGTGCTGCACTGTCTTGATAATGTAGGACTCTAGTAAGTTTTGGTATTAGGAAGTATGAGTCTTCTGACTTTGTTCTTTTCCAAGATTCTTTTGGGTATTGGGAACCCTTACAATTATATATGCATTTGAGTATAAGGTTTTACATTTCTACAAAAAAGGCCATTAGGATTTTGATAGGGATTGTATTGAATCTATACATCGGTTTGGTCATTATTACCATTGTAGCTAGATTAAGTCTTCCAGTCCTTGAATACCAGATTAATTAATTAATTAAGTCTTTAATTTCTTTTAGCAATCTTTTGTAGTTACCAGTATACAAGTCTTTTTATCTCCTTGGTTAAATTTATTTCTAAGTGTTTAATTCTTTCTGATGTTACTGTAAATGAAATTGTTTTCTTAATTTCAGTTTGTGATTATTCTTTACTTAACAGTGATTTTTATGTGCTGATTTTGTATTCTGCAACTTTGCTGAATGTGTTCATTTTTTGGTTGTGTTCTTTAGGATTTTCTGTATACAAGGTCATGTCATCTATGAACAGAGATAGTTTTACTTCTTTCTAATTTGGATGCCTTTTACTTCTTTTGCTTGCCTAATTGCTCTGACCAGAACTTCTAGTACAATGTAGAGAACTGGGGAAAGTGGGCATTCTTGCTTTTTCCTAATCTCAGGGGGAAAGCTTTCAGTCTTTCATCATTTAGTTTGATGTTAACTGTGAATTTTCATAAATGCCTTTTATCATACTGAGGAAGTTCTCTTCTATTCCTAGTTTGTTCAGTGTTTTATTTTTATTTTTATCATGAAAGGAGTGTTGAATTTTGTGAAATGTTTTTTTCTGCATCAATTGAGATGAACATGTGGCTTTCCTCCCCACCCTTCATTCTATTAATGTAGTGTATTACATTGTTAGATTTCTCTTTGTTGAATCACACTTGCATTACTGGGATACATTCCATTTGCTCGTGGTATATAATCCTTTCAAAATACTGCTGGATTCTGTTTACTAGTATTTTGTTGAGGGTTTTTGCATTTATATTTCTGGGGGATATTGTTATGTAGTTTTCTTGTGATCTTTTTCTGGTTTTGTTATCAAGGTAATGTTGGCCTTATAGAAGGAGTTAGGAAGTTTTCCTTCTTCGTCAATTTTTTGGTTGAGTTTGAGGAGTATTGGTGTTAATTGTTCTTTAAATATTTGGTAAAGTTTACTACTGAAGTCATCTAGTTTTTGGCTTTTCTTTTGTGAAGTTTTTGTGATTATTGGTTCAATCTTTTTACTTTTTTTTTAAGTTCTTATTTATTTATTTGAGAATGAGAGAGAGAGAATGAGAGCATGAGCAGGGCAGGGGGAGAGGCAGAGGGAAAAGCAAACTCCCTGCTGAGCAGGGAACCTGATGCGGGGCTCGGTCCCTGGACTCTGAAATCATGACCTGAGCCGAAGGCAGATGATTAACCTACTTAGCCAACCAGGTGTCCTTCAATCTTTTTACTTCTTATAGATCTATTCAGATTTTCTATTTCTGCTTGAGCACTTTTAATAGTTTGTGTGTTTCTAGAATTCATCCATTTTATCTAATTGTTGTTAATGAATTGTTTAGTATTTTTGTTCTTCTGTTACTGAGAGAGCAGTGTTAAAATTTCCAACCAAGATTGTGAATGTATCTTTCTTTTTTTGGTTCTGACAATTTTTGTCTTTTATTTTTTGAGACTATGTTATTAGATGCATACACATTTCAGATGCTTATATCATCTGGCCTTCTTATTACTATGAAATGTCTCTTTTCATTTCTAGTAAGGCTTCCTGTCTTCAAGTCTATTTTCTCAGATATTAGTGTGGTTATACTGGAGTTCTTTTGTTTAGTGTTTGCATGTATATCTCTTTCCACCCTTAGTTTTTAAGTCTTCTGTCTCCTTATATTTAAAAGGTATGTCTTTTATGATACACTTTAAAAAAAAGTCAAATCTGATAATCTTTGCCTCTTAATTTGGCCATTTTTTAAAAAAGATTTTATTTATTTATTTGAGAGAGAGAGATAGCAGGAGCACAAGCCAAGGGAGTGGGAGAAGGAGAAGCAGGCTCCCCTGCAGAGCAGGGAGCCTGACACAGGGCTCCATCCCAGGATCCTGGGATCATGACCTGAGCCGAAGGCAGACATGTGACGACTGAGCCACCTAGGTGTCCCATTAATTTGACCATTTAATGAATTACTAATATAATTAAATTTAAACCTACCAGGATACAACTTGTTTTCTCTGACTTAACATTCTCTGTTCCTTTTCTTCTCCTTTCTTGCCTACTTTTGGATTATTTAAGCATTTTTTAGAATTCCCTTTTATCCCTTTAGCCTGTTAGTTGTTCATTCTTTAAGATTTCTTTTTGTTGTTTTCAGTGCACCCTAACTTATTAATGTATTTTTTCCAGTTCCTGGGCAATAAAATCACCTTAAAAGAGTTTAACTCCATTTCTCCCTCTTGTATATTACTGTTGCCCTCTTAACTTGTATATTACTGTTGTCACCTTTTAAACTATTAGATCTTTCTCTATACTTTATTTCCCCGGAAAACTAACTAACTAATTAACTAACTTCCTTCCTTCCTTTATTCTTATTCCTATTCTTATTCTTCTGTAGACTCCATGCTCAATATGGAGCCCAACACAATCTTAAGACCTTGAACTCACAACCCTGAGATCAAGACCTGAGCCGAGATCCAGAGTCACTCAACCGTTTGAGCTACTCAGGTGCCCTTCCTCAGAAAACTTTCTTATCATGTCATTGTTTTATATAATCAGTATTCATTTGGATGTAGCCATCCTTTTTGTTACTCTTCATTCCTTTCTGCTTCTTCATGCTTCCATCTGGGATAATTTTCCTTCTGCCAGAAAAATCCCTTTAATATTTCCTTTCTTAATTTCAACATTTGTATTGAAGTCTGACTGGGGTGTTTCCCCAGGGCCCCTCGTCCTTGGTGGGCTCTGAATTCCCATTTTTGTTCCTCAGTCCTGCTGACTGTTCAGTTGCTCACCCTTTTGGCCCCTGCTTGTGAACCAGCAAATGCTTCAGGTAGGAAAGCTTCTCCTTATGGGGCTCATATCTCCATGCTTCCCTTCTTGCAGGATCTTTACCCTTGAAGTTCCCACTGCTCTTACATTTCTTTAGTGCCTTCACCCAGAAGTTTTGATATTTTGACCAGCACTTGTTTCAGTTAGGAACATTCATTTGCAGCAAGATAGCCCGTCATTTCTGGGATTGAAAATCTTGCCTGGTTATTTTTTTTTGATTTTGAACTCCTGAGGTGGCTGCGGAAAGTTCAGTGTGCGGAACCCAGACATTATTGCCTCATATCCCTCTATTATGAATGCACACATAAGTGGAGGCATATGAAAATACATATATGTATGTATAAAATATCCACATAAATATATGAAATATACTATATCACAGCGCAGGTAGGATGTCTCCTTAACCTTTTGGAAAGGTGTAGAAAATTCTTGCTTGTCAGCTACTTATAAAGCCTTATATCCTTGTTTCCTGGATTATTTTCTGTGGTATGTGAATGTCCACATGATGTTAATAGATTCTCCTTGTTAAAATGCTGACAAGGTCAATGAATTTGAGAGGCTGTACATGGAATCCTTCCTTTGGAGACTCTCAATGCACACAATCATGTTAAAGACTCTGAAACATGTAAATAAACTTATTTTATTATGAAGTCTTTTTGTGGAGCCAATACCTATTCCCATCTGTAGTTAGGTCTTGGAAAATAGTGTCTTATAGCCAACCTAAATCCACAAACTCCTATACCAGTAAGTATCCTGTGTTCAAGGGTCTTTGTCTTCACAAAGGTAAAGTGCCATTCAGTGTGTCCTCAGACATGGATATTGCAAGAATCTGAAAGTATGCACATCAGGTGTTGGGTTTGGAGGGCTGGAGCCCCTCTGCTATTCAGTGGTTTAAAAAATTCAGAACTTGGGGTGCAGTCATTTATAGCTCTTTGTCTTTTTGTGCCTTCTGGAGTGAGGCCATCTGCTCGGGTTCCCTTGGTCCCAGCCCAGCTCAGCATGGGGTACCCATGTGTATTGGTGGAAGTTGATTTTTGATTCTCTTAAGACAAACCTCTCCCTCACTTCACCTACCTCTTGGAGGTCTTGCCGCCCCTCTGTACAGGTGAGAGGGTGAGACAATTGTGACGGAATACACAGAGCTTCTGCTCAGCAGCCAAGAGGCCTGGGTTCAAGTCCTGGTGCTGTGTGACCTTGGGAGAGTTAACCATGGAGTAGCGGGTGAGAGCATGGGCTTTGGTGTCAGACACACTCAGCCCTTCCACTTCCTTGCTGTGTGATCATGGGCACATCACTTCACCTTCCTACATCTCAGTTTCCTTACCTGTCAAATGGGGATAATAGTAACACCCACCTCACTTTCTCCTTGTTATGAAAAGGAAATAAAATAATGCATGTCAAGTACAATACCTGAAACATTTTAAGCACCTGGCAGATGTCATCTGTTATGTTATTTAATTCAACCTGATTCCATCTGGGTTTGAGGAAAACTCCCAACTTCTCATTGAGGATCACATAGAATCTTGAAAGTGAAAAAGAGTTTTGTGAATTCTTGGACACAAAGGGAATTCTAGGCAGTATTTTTCATTACTACCCTTGATGATCCTTCATCACTTTTGGCTGGGCAGGGCAGGGTGTGGGGATCATACCTGCCTCCAACCCTGTTCTCAGGCAGAACCATTTCTCCGTTACAGAACATTGGCAAAAAGATGTCCTGCCAGCAATTCATTGCCAACTTGGACCAGCTCAATGATGGCCAAGACTTTGCCAAAGACCTGCTGAAGGTAAAACCTGTTAAGGGTTCCCATCCCCTGAAATGTACCTGGAGCAGGTGGGGAGGAGAGAGGTCTCTGCTCTACTACATCCTGACAGTCTAGATTTAAAAAAAACCAAAAACCAAAAAACCCTCTAGATCGGGGGCACATGGGTCATTCAGTTGGTTAGGTGTCTGATTCTTGATTTCAGCTTAGGTCATGATCTCAGGGCCGTGAGATCGAGCCCCGCTTTGGGCTCCACACTCAGCAAGGAGACTGCCTAAGATTCTCTCTCTCCCTTTCCTCTTGCCCCTCCCTTCCTCAAATAAATACATAAATCTTTTAAAAAAAAGTTATCTCTACACTGAACATGGGACTCGAACTCATGACCCCAAGATCAAGAGTCACATGTCCTACTGACCGAGCCAGCCAGGCCCTTCCGAAAGTCTACGTTTTTAATACTGGGGTCAGGGCCACCATGACTTTGGGATAGAGTTAGTGACCATCCAGTTCAACATTTGACTGTTACCTGTTCCCTGAGTTAGAGGGGTACACTTTATGAGATTTGTTTTAACACTCCATTCTCTTCATTGCTGTCACAGTAACCCTCAAAGCTACCAACAGTTGTCATAGCTGCCACTGCCGTCACCACTACCTTTATCTCCACCACCATCACTACAAATGTCGTTGTCATCACCACAGGGAAAAACGCGCTCATTTCCCCAACATCACCAGGAATTAAGGGATTCTAGTTTTCCCCTAAAGCTGAAGCCCAGGGTGGAACTCTGGCCTTTTAGGCCTGGTCAGTTCTCTGCCTTGGAGGAAGAGGAGCAGGTTTTTTAGGGGGTAAATGAGGAGTTCAGCTTTATTTTTTATTTTTATTTTTTAAAGATTTATTTAAGAGAGAGAGTGCGAGAGTGAGCAGGAAGAGGGGCAGAAGGAGAGGGAAAGAGAGAATCTTTTTTTTTTATTTTTAAAAAATTTATTTATTTGATAGACAGAGATCACAAGTAGGCAGAGAGGCAGGCAGAGAGAGAGGAAGGGAAGCAGGCTCCCTGCTGAGCAGAGAGCCCGATGTGGGGCTCGATCCCAGGACCCTGGGATCATGACCTGAGCCGAAGGCAGAAGCTTTAACCCACTGAGCCACCCAGGTGTCCTGGAGAGAATCTTAAGCAGGCTCCACGCCCAGCACAGAGCCTGGTGCAGGGTTTGATCTTACCACCCTGAGATCATGACCTGAGCTGAAATCAAGAGTCAGATACTCAACTGACTGAGCCACCCAGGTGTCCTGATGAATTCAGTTTCAGATAGTGGGTTTGAAGGATATGATGATACCAGGAAGGAAGTTGGATAGTGGGTCTGGAGGCCAAAAAATAGGACATTGTCTCCATCACTCTTCTTATCATAATTATCTTCTTCACCACCAAGAAGGGCTTGTTAAGAATGTATTTGTGAGACTAAATAATCCCAGTCCCAACACCCACCTATCCATTTCTCCCCATCTACCCATTTACCCAACCTCACATGCCCCCATCCTTTTATCCATTCACCTACCCAGAAAATCATTCGCCTGCCCCCCCCACATTCACCCATTTCCCCATCCACCTACCCACTAACCTATCTAACCAACTCTTCCTCAAATCTATACACCCATTCATCTAAACAATCATCTACCCACCCATCCCTCATTCATTCGCCCATCCAACAGTTGTGAATCAAACATTTATTTTGTCCCACTGACTAGAAAGTTGCTTCCTCACTGCAACCACATTACTAAAGGTAGATGGAGATTTCTCTGACTCTTCATCTGAACTCCTCTCTTTCTCTTTTCCTCTGTCCCAGACCCTTTACAACTCTATCAAGAATGAAAAGCTGGAATGGGCCATGTGAGTAGTACCCATGGGCACAGGTAGAGGGAAAGTGAATCACTGGGAAGGAGAAGGGGGAGTGGCTGATGGTGCCTGGAGGACACTCCTGTCACTCTCCATGGTGCTGATTTCTCCCAAACCACAGCTCTGGTGACCCCTGTCCAGCTGGCCAGCGCCAGGTGTTAAGTTCCCCTTAGGGTACGTTTTCTGTCTTGATTAAAAAAAAAAAAAAAAAAAAAACTTGTATGGAATTAATTAAACTGTGACTTTAGTTTCATGATGTCTACAACTTATTTTCTGTACTGGGGATATTGGCACTATTCCAATGATGATAGCTCTTCCCATTTTGGGAGATAGGCAGACAGGAGGCACGAATCCCCCTATAACACTAAGAATATGACCATATTTATGTAGTGACTGCTCTAGGCAGTAGAGAGAGGTGGTTGTCTGCCAACTTCTTTCCCTGCAAAGGCAGTGAGACCTGGAGGTGCCCAGCCATCTGGAAAGAGGTGTGGTGACCTTGCTGGGTCAGGAGACTGAGAGGCTCCTGGGGAAAGTGGCTGCCCCAGCCTCCTGTGCTCCCCAGGGCAACCTTGGTCTTTGGGTTCATGTAGAGGTCACACATGTAAGGATTGTTAGGAAGCCCAACAACCCTGGGAAGAGCTGACATTTTCTCCCAGGGTTCTAATGGGGAACCTAAACTTTAGGATCCTCATCTACTGGCCCAGGGCCAGCTCAGACAGTGTCTTTGGGACTTGGGCAGCCACTTTAGTTTGGCTATGGGTCACTGCTCCCTGGGACTGGGCTTTCAGGGTTGGAAAGAGGAGAAGAAAGACCAGGAATAAAACTAGTAAGGTCTCCAACTTTGTGGTCAGTGGTAAGGATTAGAGAGAGCTTGGAGGCCAAGAATCACAGCTCAGGGGACATGGGTCAGCATTGAAGAGTGAAGGGACGGATCAAAGATCTGGATCTGTGATCTGGAATCGGAACCTTCTTATCTCTGCTCATTACCTCTGACTCTTTCCTAGAGTTGGGTTGGTGGGGAGAGAACATGTCCATGTGGGGCTAAGGCTTCCATGGAGATGGTGCTCAGGCCTAGCATTTTCCTAGTGATGAGGACGAGCTGAGGAAATCACTGTCTGAGCTGGTGGATGACAAGTTTGGGACAGGCACCAAGAAAGTGACACGGATCTTGGATGGTGGCAACCCCTTCCTGGATGTCCCGCAGGCTCTCAGCGCTACCACCTACAAGCATGGTGTGCTGACTCGGAAGACTCACGCCGACATGGATGGCAAGAGGAGTGGGTGTCAGGCGGGGGAAGGGGCACGGGGAGGGATGCTAGTTCAGGGGAGAGGTTCTGGCTCCCATAGTCACTGCTCTAGGGTTGCACACCCTGGTAGACATGCAGGGGCATGCAGGGGAGGAGATATCGGGCTGCATAGTTGTGGCTGCACTACCCATACTCCATCCCTAGCACCCCGTGGGAGGCGTGGCTGGAAGAAATTCTACGCGGTGCTCAAAGGGACCATCCTGTATCTACAGAAGGTGAGAGACTGCCCCAGAGCCCTTACCCAGGTAGGGTCAGTGCTGTCCTTCAACTGGCCCCTGTCTAGTGGTGCCCAGAGTGTCCCTGGCAGGACCTGGGGCTTAGGCAGATGCTGAGCCCTTCCCTCATTAAAGCCTGACTTGGGCTCACAGAGCTTCGGGTTTTCAGGGAGGAATCTTTCAAATACCCAGGGGCTCAGAAGATACACAGTGGAAGCTCTGAGCCTTGGGACAAACCAGGCTGTGGAGAGGAGTGGCTGGGGGCTTTGTTGGGGTGGGCATCGTACCACAGTGGCAAGAGCTAAAGAATGGAGGGAGTGGAGGGACAGGAGTGAGAGCACGAGGGAGGGATGGTGAGGGTGGAGGAAGTGTGGGTTAGCGAACCCAAGCCTGCTGATGACAGAGGCTTGCTTGCCCCTGGCCCACCTGTCCAGGATGAGTACAGGCCTGACAAAGCTCTGTCCGAGGGCGACCTGAAGAATGCCATTCGCGTGCACCATGCTCTGGCTACCAGGGCCTCCGACTACAGCAAGAAGTCCAATGTGCTCAAGCTGAAGACAGCTGACTGGAGGGTCTTCCTCTTCCAGGCACCGTAAGTAGGAGTGGGAGCCCCTCCCTCCCACCCTGGGCTCAGGGCCTACAGCCTTGACTGACTGCACCCTGCTCCTCACCCGCCTTAGGTGAGGTGCTGTTGGCTTGCCCTCATGTCAGCCATAAAAGTGAGTGTGTCTGCGTGGCACAGACTGACAGCTGGGGTCCCCTGAAGTAGAGGTTCTCAAGTGTGGGCCTGTCAGCATCTCCTGGAAACGTGTTAGAAATGCAGTTTTTCAGGCCCCACATAGACCTACTGAATCAGCAGCCATGGGGCTGGGCCAGCAGTTGTGTTCTAACAGGCCAAACATTCTGGTGCACACTGAAGTCCCTACATCAGGGCAAATGGGGTTGTAATGAATTCCCTCACTGTAAATTGGGGTGGGGAAATGAATGGGAAAGACTCAGCTTACAGTGTCCCCAGAAGGCCTTCCCTCTACTCTTCTACACCCTATTCTGTGACTTGAGATTGGAGTTTTATATGTCAGAGGAGCTTAAAAGCAGAGAGGCTGGTAGAGGACCTCTCAGGATGGGAGTGGGCATTGTGGGCAAGGTAGTGGGGCAGGGACCAGAGGCCTGAGTGGGGATACCCCTTGCCTGTTGCCTCTAGGATCCACTGATCCAGGGATCAGTCTGGGCCCACTGACCCATGACTGTTAACTCTGGACCTAGAGAACTTTCTTTCCATGTAAAAATCCAGGTCTTAACCCAGAAGCTGGGACAGAAGCGAGCTCCCTACACAGACTTGACCGGACCCATCCAGCTCCCATTCTGCCATCCCCCCTCACTCCTTTGTCCCCCTTTGTAAAAGGAGTGACTCCCACCCTGTGCCAGGATAGCAGTGGGTCCTGGGTGCTGGGTGGGGGACAGGGAGTCCTATTGTGAGGAGCTGGTGCCCTTTCCCCTCTCCTCCTGTCCCCAGGAGCAAGGAAGAAATGCTGTCCTGGATCCTTAGGATCAACCTGGTAGCCGCCATCTTCTCAGCCCCCTCCTTCCCTGCTGCTGTCAGCTCCATGAAGAAGTTCTGTCGGCCCCTGCTGCCCTCCTGCACCACTCGCCTCTGCCAGGTATAATCTCCTGGGACCCCAACACCACCTCCTCAGGCTGCGTCCAGCACCTCTCCCCACTGCCGCCTTTCAGCAGTCTCTACCTCCTCCTATATGGTGCCTGGTCTTGGGCTAAGAGACAGGGTGAAGAGACAGATCCCCATTGCACCCCATGCCCATTTATAGATGGGAAGACTGAGGCCACCCTCAGTGGGGTGGATAATATAGGCACCGCACAGAAGCCTGCATTCTTCTCTGCCAATGGTGTAATAGCCTGTCGATGTCATTGTGAGTCTTGGAAATGGTGCATGTCTGAGCTTGGATGTTAGAGACCGTGTGTCACAGGGAGCCAGGGACGGGCTGTGTCACAGGGAGACAGGCTGGGTCCTCATCTAGGGCTCTTTTGCTCTTCTTACTTACCCTGAATTATTTTATTTGTAATCCTAAAAAAACTCTTGCTCATCAGTACTTGAGTTTTTCAGGGGTTTTCTGGAGAGGAGAGGATACATGGTGGAGCACCCCTTGGGAGGTGGAAGGCAGGAGGAGCTCCATACTTCCTGTCTTTGTCAGGGCCCCTTTCATAGCGGGCCCTTGTCCTGGGTCTCTCCGCTGAGCCCCTCAGTGACAGCTTCTGCCCAGAGCCCCCGTGCATGTGCAGATGGTGCCCACACACACACAGCCCACACACACATTTACCATATGGGGACTCGTGTGAACATGTGCATGCACACCTGCTGGGTACACACCCCCCCACTGCACACATGCATCACACATGCGCACACACACGCAGCTCGTTGCCCACACAGAACCAAGTGGTCTGCCTGTACTTTGGTGGGTGAGACGTATGCGCGCACTTGTCTGTGAGTGACAGTGTCTCTGACTGTCTGCGTGTGACGCTGGGACTTTGACCATCATGTGTGCCTGGGCAAGAATCCAAGAGAATGTGTGCCTCATATGGAGCCAGGCGTAGCCATGGCCAGACTGTCCCTTGTTCCACTGTGTTTGTGTGTGCATGTGTGAGTCCATATGAACCAGTGTGGGGTGCTGGTTCTGGTGGGATGGTGTGTCTATGTCAGGTGTCTGTGTGGGCCTTCTAGCGTGAGGGTCTCTCATTTCCCGAGTCTGCCGTGGATTTATTTAGGAGGGCTGATGCCAGTGAAAGCAAGGCGGGAAGGAGGAGGGTGGAGGACCACTCCCTTAGGTCTCCCACATACTTGATGACACTGGCCAGGCCTCAGTTTCCCTTTGTGGAAGCAGATCCAGCATGACCGGTGCAGACTCACGTCTATGACGTCTTGAGAGTGGGACCTCATAGTCCGGGACTTGTCTTTGCAGGAGGAGCAGCTGCGTTCTCATGAAAATAAGTTGAGGCAGGTGACTGCGGAGCTGGCTGAGCACAGGTGTCACCCCATCGAGAAGGGTGTCAAGTCCAAGGAGGCTGAGGAGAACCGGCTGAAGGAGCACTATCTCACTTTTGAGGTGGGTTCTACTTGGGGGCTATTGCGAAGGACAGGGCTGGGGCAGAAGGAGGAAGCCAGCTCTCCTCCTTCTCCTGTCACCAATATCATTCTGCAGCCGGGGGCTCCTGGTTTGAGGGTTCTCCACTTTGGGAGCTCTCCTGGGCCAGTCAGGAGCCACGCAGGGCCTCCTGCGGGCCAGGCTGTGCAGTCTGGCTGCCAGTTGTTCATCAAACAGTTGTGCCTCACTTGTGTCTTTCAAAGAGCACAAGTTGGCCCCCACTCTTCTCCAAGACCCTCCTTACTTCCACACCCCCCCACGACCCAGCCTCTCGGAGAGCTGTTAAAACAAAACCATAAACAGCTCAAGCCCACCTGCACGACCCATCCCACTTTTGTCTGCCTTTCCTCTTCCACAGATGTTTATCAGGCACAGCAACTAAGTTCTCCCTCCCCTCCGTCTTGCCTCTCCCTGGCCCCCACCCTGATTCTGCCTCCTGATGCTCTGTAAATGGGGCTGACGGAGCATCGCCTTCATCAGGTGAACGAGAGGGGGCCAGCCTTGGGGAGGGAGGCAGGAACCACATGTCCCTTTTGGACTGGGCTTTGTATTGACCTGCTGGCGGGGGAGTGGACCATATAGAGGCTTAGACGGAACCTTTGGGGCAGGAAAGGCAGTAAGTCACTGATCTTAGTCTCTGCATTTCTACATTTATTTCTATTGAAGTGTGAGGAAGAGAGGAGTGTTCCCAGGGAAGATCCTGACCTTTCAAAAAATAAAGCGGTACAGCTTTCAAAATCTACTCAGACCCACTCTCTCTGCAACGTTTAAAAAAAAAAAAAAAGGGATGACAAAAGCTACAGTGGACTGATCTCTTGCCAGTTGTCAGCACGATTCCCTTGTACTGATTGATTTAATCCTCATGTCAATTCTGTTGAAATGGGTTATTATCTGCATTTTACAGATGGGAAAATTGAGGCTTGGAGAGGGCAGACCACTTCCTTGAGGTGACAGTTAAGAAGTGTAGGAACCAGGATCCTAGCCCAAACAACTGAGTGTGACTCTGGCATTTTGGTCCTTCTCACTTACCCTGGCTGAACAGGGGAGTGTGGAGGGAGGGGATGTGAAGCCCAGCAGTGAAGGGTCTTTCTGCTCATGTGCAGAGTTGTGTGAGAACAGTGTCTTCTCACTGTTCGTCGTTGCTTCTTCTAGGACCTCAGCCTCTTCTGACTGGGTGAGGGCTGGAAGCTCAGAGTCCAGCCCTCAGTTATAGTCAGCCGAATTTCCCTCCTAAATGTTTACCTATTTATAACACTTTTTTTTTTTTTTTTTTGAGAGAGAGGGGTGGGGGAAGGGGCAGAGGGAGAGAGATAATCTTTATTTTTTTAAATTTAAATTCAATTAGCCAACATATAGTACGTTATTAGTTTCAGATGTAGAGTTTACTAATTCATCAGTTTCGTATAACACCCACTGTTTATCACGTCATATGCCATGTCACCCAGTACCCCATACCCCCACCCACCTCCCTGGGAGAGAGAGAATCTTAAGCAGGCTCCACACCTAGCATGGAGCCCAACACAGGGATGGATCTCACAACCCTGAGATCATGACCTGAGCTGAAATCAAGAGTCCAATGGTTCATGACTGAGCCACCCAGCACCTCCCCACCCCAAGTTTATAATACTTTAAATAGCTCATGAATGTACTTCTCTGTCATGTTACTCACCATCAGTGGACACTCCTGAATGTTTTAATCACCAATCTGATAGGTTTAGTAAGGGGTATTTCATTGCTATTTTAATTTGAATTAAAAATTCTTTAATTGTGCAGGGCACCTGGCTGGCTCAGTTGGTTGAGCATCTGCCTTGGGCTCAGGTCATGATCCCGGGGCTCTGGGTCAGCAGGGAGACTGCTTCTCCCTCTCGTCCCTGCTCACGTTCTCTATCTCTGTCTCTCTCTCTCAAATAAATAAATAAAATCTTAAAAAATTAAAAAAAATTATAAACATACATAGCATAAAATTTATCATGTTAACCATTTTTAAATGTGTAGTTCAGTAGTATTAAGCCTACTCACACTGTTGTGCAACCGATCTCCAGAACTTTTTCATCTTTCCAAACTGAAATTATACCTATCAAAGAGCAACTCTTCTCCAACTCCCCCTGCCCCATCCTTGGCGAACACTGTTCTAGTTTCTGTCTCTGCAGACTCCTCTAGTTACTGCATATTAGTGGAATAATATAGAATTTGTGTTTTTGTGGTTGGCATATGCTCAAGTTTATCCATGTTGCAGCATGTGTTAGAATTTCCTTCCTTTTTAAGGCTGAATACTATTCCATTGTATGTAGATACCACATCTTCTTTATCTTTTCATCTGCTGCTGGACATTTGGGTTGCTTTCATCTTTTGAGTTTTGTAAATAGTGTTGTTATGAACTTGGGTATGCACATATTTCTGAGACCTGCCTTAAATTCTTTTGGGTATATACTCAGAAGTGGTACTGCTGGAGTATAAGGCAATATTATTTTTAATTTGCTGAAGAACAACCATACTGTTTCCTTTCTTGGAAAAATATTTATTTATTTATTAGAGTATGGCAGAGAGAGAGAAGGAGAGAGAGAGGATTTCAAGCAGACTTCCCAGTGAGCACAGAGCCCTGTGGGGGACTCTATCTCATTGACCCTGGGATCATGACCTGAACCAAAACCAAGAGCCACCAGGCGCCCCCAGACTGTTTCCTACGGCGGTAGGCCATGGTTCCCACCAGCAGCACATGAGGGTTCTAATCTTCCTGCACCTTCACCAACACTCACTCTCTGACTTTTCTCTGATAGTAGATGTTCCAATAGGTGTGAGAGGGTATCTCTTTGTGGTTTTGAGGTGCATTTCCCTGATGACGAGTGGTGTTGAATGTCGTTTTATGAGCTTATTGACTATTTGTATGTCTTCTTTGGAGAAATGTCTAAGATATTTGCCCTTTTAAGTTGGGTTGTATTTCTGTTGTTGAATTGTAGGAGTTTTTCTTATATTCTTTTTTTTTTTTTTTTTAAGATTTTATTTATTTATTTGACAGAGATCACAAGTAGGCAGAGAGGCAGGCAGAGAGAGAGGAGGAAGCAGGCTCCCGGCTGAGCAGAGAGCCCGACGCGGGGCTCGATCCCAGGACCCTGGGATCATGACCCGAGCCGAAGGCAGAGGCTTTAACCCACTGAGCCACCCAGGCGCCCCTTATATTCTTGATAGTAGACCCTTATCAGAGGATTTGCAAATTTTTTTTCCATTCTGTGGATTGCCTTTTCACTCTATTGATTGTCCTTTGATACACATGAGATTTTTTTTTTTAAAAAGATTTTATTTAGGGGCACTTTTACCTTTATTTTAAAGATTATTTTTTATTATTTATGAGAGAGAGAAAGAGAACACAAGCAGGGAGCGGGGCAAAGGGAGAGGGAGAAGCAGACTCCCCACTGAAGCAGGGAGCCTGATGGGGGTGGGTCAATCCAAGACCCTGGGATCATGACCTGAGCTGAAGACAGACCCTTAACTGACTGAGCCACCCAGGCACCCTGATGCACAAGAGTTTTAAATTTTGTAATCCCATCTGTCAACTTTTATTTTGGTTGTCTGTACTTTTGCTGTCGTACTCATCATTGCCCCTTAACTTGAATTTTTAAAATTAGGAATTAAAGTTCTGTGTATGCCCCTTGCCTATTTTTTAATTGGATTGTTTATCTCCTTTTTATTGATTTGTGAGAGCACTCTGAATATTAAGGAATTAGTCTTTTGTCACATAAGGTCCAAATACTTTTTTTTTGCATTTTCTTGTTTGTCCTTTGACTTTGTTTTTGGCCTTTCTCTGCCTTTTTTCTAGAAAAGCCGTTATGAGACCTATATCCACCTCCTGGCTGTGAAAATCAAAGTGGGTTCAGATGACCTGGAGCGGATTGAGGCCCGACTGGCCACTCTGGAAGGGGACGACCCTTCTCTGCGCAAGACACACTCAAGCCCCGCCCTCAGTCAGGGCCATGGGACTATGACTGGCAGCAGAGCTACAAAGGATACCACAGGGCCTGACACTTAGCTGGTGTGGATGGGCAGGCCCCAGAGGCAGGCAAATGTCCCTAGAGGGGTCAGTGAGCACAATTCCAGCCAGGGGCCACTCGCGCCAGCTCCAGGCAGTTGACAGGCAGCCAGAGGGGTGTAGAGAGCCCTGTGGCCCAGGGAGATGGAGATGTTCTTTGTGGCGCTGATCTTCTTGCTTCCTAGAGTTGATCTGGGCCTCAGACCTCCTCTCCAGCCCTCGCATTCCTCTCTACCACCAAGCCTCATTGTCTAGGCCAGTTGTGTGCATGCTCTAGCCACGATCTCACTGGAGGAGAAGGAAGGGCAGCTGGTTTTGCAGGCCCTCCTCTCCTTCTCACAAGTTCCTTCCCTCATCTCTCTTGTTCCCAAGGGCAGGTCTGGACTCCAGCTGTCAGCTTGGGTCCCCACCTGTTCTCATCCACCTTCCTTAGACTTGAACAGCAGCAGGTCTGTGGACCACCAGCACCACCCTGCCTGTGCTCCCCCCACCCCCCCCCCGTAGCTTCTGGAACCACGCCCTGTTCTCCTGCCTCCCTTTGCAATAATCCAGTACCCGGGCCTGCTCTCTTGATGTCAAGCTGTCTACTCATGTGTGTGTCCACCTCACCTTCCATTCATGGAGGCCACTCCTACTTTCTTTTATATGGACAAAAATGTATATATATAAGAATTATATATATATGGAACCCCTTTAAAGATGATTTTGGAATTGATATCAAGATGAAATAAGATGAAGGAAAAGCCTATTTCAGAACTCTACCTGTTAGTGAGGAAGGCTGTTACCTGACCCCTTGGTGGCCCAGACACTCTGGGAGAGAAGGTGCTGACCTCCTCTCACTCTCTTTTCCCCTCTTCCGGCTGACCTGTGACTTACACTGCTCTTACAGTTGATGTTTGGAATAAATAGCGTGTGTGTGTGTATGCTACCCCATCTGTCCCATGGGCATTCTGGGGTGTTAGTGGGATGGGACCATGGCCTTGTTTATATTTTGGTCTTTATGTTGGTGCTGCCAGGTCTCTGAGCTCCAGAGGTGGCCTCTTGTACAGATCTACTGCTCCTGGAATAAAAGACACTCTGCCTTGCAAACAGCCACTTGTCAATAAGCCCAAAGATGTTTGGTGGACGAAGTTTATGGAAGCCATTAATTCCTGGTCTTGGGAAAAGGTGGAGTAAGAAGTTGCTGATTGGTTTTTAAGCTGATATTTCTTTCACTCTTCCAGTGATTCAGAAATGCTAGCTAAGGACATGCCTGAGAAGGATGGAAAAATCTGCCACGTGATGATCAGACTAGTATCTTGTAAACCCTGAATTCCTCAGATGGACCAGCGGTGGAGGTGATGGGCCTTCAGTGAGCTATGATGAGCAGGTCCTTTATACTTTTAAAATAGATTAGTTTGGGCAGCAGTTTGACCTCAGTGGTAACATATTTAGTTAGTGGCAAGGTTGGGTTATCTTATTAAGTACCTAACACGTACAAGCACGCTCACATTTGATGCAAGGTATGTATAAGTCTGTGGAAATATATAGTGATTTAAATCCAGATTATTTAATTTGGATTAGCTGATGTGTATTTTATACCCAAACCATCTGGGCCCTTCGTTTTGCTGAGGGGAAGTAAGTGTTCATTTAAATGAACTTGAAAGAGCAATGTAACATAACAGAGCTCTCTTTACTTTCTCCATGCTGGCTCAAAGGTCTTTGATCTTGGGGTTCAGCTTCCCACCCTCCACCTCATGAGGGTGGGTGAATGAAAGCAGAGGAGCAAGTTTCTGTCTGCTGCAGACAGGCTTCCCTGAGCACTAGTGATGTCTCCCATCAGTAAAAAAAATCTTTAGTTCATTTTCTTAATTGTATAATTATTTATTGTAAATTATATACATGTACTACTGTACTAAAATATTATGTACATTATAAAACATACACAAAAATAGAAATTTAAAAAGATGAGATGAAAATAAACCTAAATGAAAGTTCTAATATATTTTTTTTCCTGCATTCTAATGGACCATCATATTTCCCCCAACTTCTGCCTGTAATATGCCCATTTTCCAGGACTGTCCAAATCCAGGGGCTGGAGGACCGCGGGTGAGATGCAATAAGTGGTTTGCGCCACCTGGTGGTCCTGGGAAGTGGCTCTGGGCTCAGGGACTTCTGGGGGCTGACCCTTGACCACAGTGTTTCTTCAACCTTCATTTTCTTATTCAGTGAAGGTCACCAGTGCTGCACACTGTGCTAGGTGCTGAGGATAGTGTGGTGAGAAAAGGACCGAGCAGCTCTCTGTCCACATGGGGCTCACAGTCTAGTGGAGAGGGGACAGGCAGTCACCATTACCATTTAGAACCCTGGGAGCACTGGGGAGAAAGCCAAAACTGACCTGGCAGAGAGAGAAGAAAGAACTGGAGTGGAGAAGAATACTCTGATTCAGGAAGCCACCTGAATGTCCTGAGTGCTCCTGGAGGGCAGGGTGGTAGTAGGAATGTCCCTTAACAGGGCTATACCTCTTCCTGATTGGCCACACTAAGTACATCTCAAGGCAGAAATTTGAGAGACAGAGTGGGAAATGAGCCTCTCTGGCCACATCTCTCCCAGGTCCCATTCATACCTGTGAAATGAATGGGTGGTGAATTCCATTAGGTTCTGGCCTTAGACTCCTGGTGGGTGTTTTAGGATCCAGATCAGAAAACCAAGCTACCAAACTATTCAATACAACTACCTGGGGTCATGAAAAGTCCAGGGGGGGGTGGTTCACCAAGACGCCAGTCACAATTACTGGGGTCCACATAGAGGTCAGGTGGGTTCACTGGAGTCAGAGGTGGATTCTTACTGAAAATTTAGAACGTAACAGCAACTCAGAGCCCTCAGAAGGGTCAAATTTGACCCTGAGGGTTTGTGAAAAGGTCAATGGGTTCACCAAGAAGTCGTTCACGATTATTGGGGTTCACATAGAGGTCAGAAGTCATATAGAGGAATTATTGGCTGTCAGAAAATTTTAAAGCCAACAGTAAACTAACTCAGAGCCAGCAAAGGGATCTGGATGAGATCACCAGATGGGGCCTGGGAGAGATCAGAGATTTGCAGGTTTATATACCATCTAGTTCACTCTTTCCTTTGTTTCTTTGTAACAGGTGCTTTTTCCCCCAGCACCCCCACAGTGAACACAATGACTTTAGTTCTTTACTTTTCCTCATCAACTCCGTTTCATCCAGCTTTTGCCATTCTGTGATTCAAGAATGCAAGGCACAGGATACCATCATCATCAAATTAACCATTAATAGGCATCATGTGCCAGAAGCATTCCTGGGTGCTTTATATATAATCTCCACAACAACCCTTTGAGGTAGGTGTCAGCATCACCACTTTACAGCTGAGGAAACAGCAGCCTAGAGAAGTCACACCGCCAAGGAGGGCAGAGCTGGAACTGGAGCTCAGCTCCTCTCAACCTTAAGCCTCTCTGGCCCTCCCATTTGTAGGTCTCTAAACTGACCACATACATTCTAGGGGCATCTGTGCATGCGTGTGCTCAAGTCAACCACCTGAGACCTCTGGATAGAAGACTCCCTTGTGTCTGGCTGGAACATAAGGGTTTCTGGCACTGGGCACTGGTTTAATAAATGAGTCAACGAGGGAAAAGGCTTCTTAACCCTGGACCTCCATCTGCCTTCTCTATGCCTTCATCAGGGACTGCAGGTTTAGACAGGCCCTGGCTCTGAGGGGTTATAAAGTTGGGAGAAACACAAAACCCTGTGGGCTTACAAGCTGCAGCAGCTGTGGTCTTCCTGGCAGCCAAGGGTACCCATTATGCCATCTTGCATGTCCAGGCTTTGCCTGTGACATGCCTGAGGCCGCAAGGGTCATCTTGCCTCAGCTGCCGCAGTGCCAACCCCACAAGCCTTCCCTTCTCACCCACATAGGCCGGAAATTGCTGCCTCAGTGCAGTCCCAGTAGCTCCAGGGCAGGAACTGGGCCAGGGTTCTGAGACTGAGCTCAAAGCAGAGTAATACGCATCAGCCCCTTGGACAGGTTCCCTGGCAGGTAGGGGGGATACCTTGTGAATATTCTTGGGAAAGGGAGGAGGGTTGCAGCCTGTCCTAGGGGCTGAAGCCAGGTAGATTAGAGGGACTGTCTCTTCCTCCCTGGGACTACCCTGGCCCTCTCCAGTCTCCACACCGGCATCCATCCATCTCCACCCAGGTCCTCATTGTCTTCTCTCCCCACCAGGGGGCTAGGCACACACAGTCAAACATGAGTTATTTCTGATTTTATTTATAATATAAAAATGTTCAAGTGTCAACAGTCAGGTGTTTGGACATTTCAGGGCAGGGTTCCCATTTGTTTGTTTGGTGTATTTTTGATTTTTTTTTTTTTAAACAATTCCCTTTTTGACAAATTAGCAGTGGACCCAGTTTTGCGGGGGTGGGGAGGACAGGGCTGGAGAGGGAGTGGAAGTCGTAGGTGGCTTGGGGTCTGGAAGAAATGGTGTTACTTTATTGCTAAAAGGGGAAATCAAATACACTGTGGAGTGGCTCTTCTCGGTCCCAGCGTGACCATGCATCCAATCTAAAGAATCTGAAATGCAAAGGACATGCAGGCATAAAATAGAAAAGACAACCTGTAAACGAAGGTGCTGCAGAGGACAGAAGGGCATCCTGGAGGCCACGGGGAGGAGGAGCCGGAAAGTTGGGGCCCTGGAAGAGCTGCCCCCTCCCTGGAGCCAGGACTGTCCGGAAGATCTCTGTCTCAGTGCCCCCTCCCTTAGCAGCTGTAAGGAACAGGGAGGCCCTCTCCCCATTCTGGTTGCTGTCGCTGGGCCTTAAGTCTCCCTCTGAATGTTACCTGACCCCAGCTCTAGCTCCAAGCCTAGATCCCTGCCTTCTCTTCAGGGGGTCGGGGACTCAAGATCTGCCTGGGGGCAAAGCTGCTACTGTTCTCATTTTCTTTCTCAGGGCCAGTCCCCTCCCCGCCCCCACCAGCACCCAGCAGCCTCTTCTTTGCCAGCTTCCTCTCACCCCTGCCAGCTTGGGATCCTACATTCCCCTAACCCCCACCCCACAACCCTTCTTCTCTCCAGGAGCCCCAGATTAGCGTACAGCAAAAGGCACCACAATATAGGTTTCTATTAAAGAGTCAAAAAATTGGCCCATCTCTCTTTTTTTTTTTGTTGTTTCTTTTTTTTTTCCGAAGCTGTAAATCAGGATGTTACATATAAATAGTTTCCCTATAAAAACGTCTTTGCCGTTAGCTAGTATTATAAGAGAATTTTTGCTAAAATGAAAATAAAACATTTTGTTATACCTTTTTCCTTTTATAGAAAATAAAAATATTTTTATTTCTTTTTTTTCCTCCTTTTTCTCTCCAGGCGGTGGTCTCTGTCCTCCTTAAAGACAGTGGGGCAGGCGAGGCGGAGGGGGCGGCGGGCGGCGGGGGCCCCTAGAGGGGCGCCGAGTCCTGCTTGCCCCGCGGGGGCGGCCCGCGGCTGTGTCTGCTGCTGGCCCGCGTGCTGTGGCTGTCCAGGGAGTAGTAAGTCCTGCTGTCGGCCGCCGGGCACAGCGGCGGCGAGTCCGAGCGCAGCGCGTCGTGAGCCCCGCGTAGGCCGAGAAAAGGCGTGCTCTCGGCCGCCAGCGCCCCGTCCGCGTCGTCGTCCGAGGCAGAAGCCGAGCCGCCACCCGAGCCGCTGCTCAGCGATAGCGAGTCCCGCGCCGCGCGTGCGCGCTGCGCCGCCAGCCCGTTGAGGCGCGAGCGGCGCCAGCGCCGGGGCCCCGCCGACGTCCTGCGGGACGCGCCGCGAGTGCGCGGCCGCGGCGGTGGCGGGGGCGCGCACTCCTGCGTGGTCTCGTACTCGTCGTCCTCCGGGATGCGGAAGGGGCTGGCGGGCAGGCTGCCCAGGCTGCCGCCCAGCGCGCAGGCCCCGCGCCGCGGCCCCGGCCCCGCCGCGGGGTAGTAGTAGCTGTCGTAGCTGCGCTGCATGTCCGCGCCCGGCCCGGGCCCCGGGCCGGGCGGCGCCGGCTGCCGCAGTAGCGGCTGCTGCTCCGCCAGGCGGTAGCTGATGGGCGCGGCCGGCGGCAGCGACACTGCGTGCGCGGAGTTGGGGGACGTGATCTCAAAAGTCGGCACCTGCGTGGCCAGCGAGTAGTGGAAGTCCACGGGAGAGAGGCGCGCGGGCGTGGTCAGTGCCGACACGTACCTGCGGGGAGAGGCAGAGGCATGGGTGGGGGGCTACGGGGTGGGGTGAAAGGGGTGGATTCCGACGGAAAGAAGCGGTCTTGCCTGGAACTCAGCGGCTAGGAATCATGGTGGCCCTCCTTACTGTCCTTAAGCAATTTCCTTAACCTCTACCAGGCTCAGTTGCCTTATCTTTTAAGTGGGGATAACCACAATGCTCATTCCATGGCGTCGCTGGGATGATTCCATAAATGTATCAAATGGAATGCCAGTGCCTGCTTGGTGATCCTTCCCGAATGATCCTTCGTGTGGGGGATGCCCATAGTCACCAGGATTCTGAATGGTTACTTTGGGTCAGGCTCAGATTGGGGCATTTTACTTGTACTATCTCATCTAACACAGCAATACTCTAAGACCCTCAGATTAGTTCCATACTGCACATGAGGAAAACTGACTCAAAACATTTAAGTGACCTGCTAAGGGTTCACGAAACCAGGAAGTGGTAGAGCTGGGATTTGAACCGAAGCCAGGCAGGAACCAGGACTTACACTTCAGCGCTCTCAGAGTCCCCATTACTCTTTTTTTGAATCGCCTCACTTACCTCTCCGCCCTCCCTCACACGTACATCCAATTAGCTACCATTCCCCAACTCCTGGAACACACCCTGTGCCCTGCTCTACCCCATTCCGGGCCTAGTTTTTCGCTCTGGTCATTATAGGACTCCAGGGCCCCTCCTTCACGGTATGCAGTTTTCCAGAGCAATCTTTTACCGTCACTGTTTTGCTTAAGGAGGCCATTCCTGCTTACCCATTCAAGGCCCCCATTATAAGCAGAGCCCAGGGCCATTGCCATTTACCTGGCCCGGCCTACCTGTTCAGAGCCAGCTCCACTCTCCCTACAGCTCACCCAGGCTCCGGGCACCTTACTCACTAGCCGTGTTCTGAAAATGGATGCTGGAAAAGCTCAGAGTGCTTCCCTTGCCTGAAGTGCTCTTCTTGTCTCTACCTCCCAACCATTCAGAAGTCCTACTTCGACTGAAAACAACAGCTGCACCTAGTGTAGGTGGCAGAGGGCTCTGTGCATATGATCTCTGATGGCCTTCTCAGGAACCATGCATGGTAGGTACAGTTTTTCATGACTTACAGCTGAGGAAACAAGGTACAGGGGTGACCAACTTCTCCAAATCACACAGGTGGTGGAGTTGGGCTTTGAAAGGTTGGTCTGAGAAACCTGGCTGCTTCCTAGAGCCTGGAGTCAGACTGGGTCTCTGCCCTGGTAGGATGGCCTGTGCTAAGCATGTTCCTTAGGTGGCTGTGAGCTTCAGTAGTTTGTGTCTGTGGCTTGGAGTTCCTCCAGAGCAAGAACCAGGTGGGCCATCTTTGTGTCCCCAGGCAGGTCTGCTCAGCGAGGGCTAGCATGGAGTAGGCTAAGTTAGAGCAGGAGAACACTTCCTCTCCCTCTACTCCAGCTCTGAGTTCCAGAGTTCCCAGTACTCTGCACCTTCCTCTGCTCTCTTCCCACAGATCCCACTTGCTAAGGGCCACTGGAGGGCAGAACAAGGTGGACGGCTGGCCTCCTGTGACTCCTGGCATGGAGTCAGGGAAGAAGGGGAGTTTCCTGGTTCACACTCTATCCAGTGCTTGGAAACTCAATGGTGTCTTGATCCCTGGGCCTTGTTGCTGATATTGCCAGGGCCTGTAGTCTTTCTTGGCTTGTGCCCAGCCTGCACTGCTCAGTCTCCTTGCAGACAGCCTCCCCTCCCACCCTCCAATCTGCTCCATTTTGGTGTCTTTCTGTTCCCGCTGGGCCATGGGACCTCTGGGTGACACCAGGGTAGAGTCACCATATGTTCTGGTTTGTCTGGAACAGCCTCTGTTTGTTGCTGATTTTCTAGTGCAATTAATTATTAACATCCCCTTCTACTTTGAAAAGTGTCCTAGTAGGACAATTAAACTAGACAGTCACTCCACACCAGGGTCCATTGGCTCAGCTGCAGTCCCAGTCTGTCATGAACATGTTGACGACCCTGAGCAGATCACTGAACCTCTCAGGGACCTTGCTGGCCAAGCTGAAATATGGACCTGAGAATCTTTGGAGTGTGTCTGAGTTGCCGTAAGGGTCAGCCCTGGGCCAGTGGTGCCAGTTCTCTGGCCAGGGTGGGGCAGAGGGCATGAGGCAGGAACTGACCTCTCGCTGTGTGGGGAGTCACGCAGGGAGTCTACGGAGTCATGGTAAGGTGGCACGGCTGCCCCGCGTCGCTCTTCCAGGCTGTAGGCTGCTGCCCGCCGTGCCCGGGCCTCCACACATGCCGGGCTGTTGCACTTGCTGGTGCCCACTGAAGACAGCATGATGCCTGACTGCGAGTCGGAGGTCAGGCTTTCGGAACGTTCCAGGCTCCACGTGTGGCTCTCATGCCTGGAGAAGGTGGGTGGAGGAGAGGTGAGGGATCAGGAAGGGGCAGGACAGCCCAGCAGGTGTGGTCCAAGGGCCCGCCCCCTCCCTGGTTCTTATTGCATTTCAGGCATCCTCAGCTCACCGCCCTTCTCCACTCTGAGCCGACGTGTCACATCATGATCTAGGGAGGAGGGAGGGCCAAGTGACCTGTGGATGGCTGGGCTGCCATGTGCACGAGCCTCTTCTTTTCCTCTGTGCCACCATCCTCCCCCTAGCCTTGGCCCGGGGCTCCCTGTGGGGGATGCTTCCCCTCCCATGGTCCTTGGCCACCTATGTCAGGAGCGCAGCCCTCGTGGCCAATACCTGGGGGCCCTGTCTAGTCCATGCCGCTCCCCAGGGAAGAAGGCCAACTATGGTATTTCTTGAGCTCCATGGACCTTTGTGCTTGGGCGGGCAGACCTCCCCACTCTAAAGGAATGGAAGCTACGGGGAACTAGGTTCATATGAGCAAACCCAAGAGAGGGCATCAAATAGGTGTGGGTGTTTGAATGAGGAGGCACTTAACGCCGGATAACGTGATGCCAGCACTCAGTGTCAGGTGGGAGCCCAGGGATGTTGTTGTTCCTCTGGGGTCAGTTTAGACTGGAAAAGGGAATCCGGGCCACCGAGGATCTGGATGAATGTTTGCTGGTGGGTTCTGGTCTGAGGTGCTCCACCTCCTGCCTCTGACTCTGACGGACCCTCAACACAGAGCCGAGCCTGGCTGGGGGGTTTCTCTGTGTGTCCCCAGGCAGACGTGCACCTGGCCGGTGCCCACCTGTGGCTGGAGGTGGGGGTGGCCGTGGAACAGTGGTGAGAAGGAGAACAGGAGTGGCTCCCAGAAAAGGTGGTCTCGGTTTCCCTCCGGATGACGTGGTCCGTGGCTGGCACGTTCTTGGAGATATACTGTAACAGACACAGTTGGGTGGGAGTTAGTGATAGGTTACTGGGTTGGCCCTCCTTCCTGGTGGGGATGGGGAAGCGACACACTCAGTTTCAGGCTGGGGAACGGTCCACTGGGTGAGGGACTTGGTGTTAGGGCAGCGAAGGCCCCAGCAAATCAATGCCTTGAGGAAGTGGGCAAAGCAAGGCCAGTCATCCTGGTGAGGCTAGGTAAGCAGGCAAGGCTGAACGTGGTGTGGGCCTGCTGCTGCCCTGCCTTGGCCTGGCAGGGCACAGGACAAGGCTGGCTCTCCAGTGAGGGCTCCAAGGGGGTTCTGGGAACACCACTCACATCTGCCATCTGGATCTCCTCGGGGTCCAGCCGGGGGTGGCTGGGCCCATTGGCTAAGCTCCGGTTCTGGTGGGCAGGGCACATGTTCTGCCGGAGCTGATTGTGCATCTGCTTCCGCTGTTTTCTGCATAGAAGAAGGGGGTGTTAGCCTGGCGTGCCCCCCACAGTGAGGATGACATTCCCAAGCTGGCCCCCCAGGGGAGCTCTTCTAACCGCTGGCCCCATGATGCCGGGGCAGTCTCCTGCTACTGCTTTCAGCCAGGACACCACGCCCCTGCCGCCTCCACTGTCATCACCAGCTTCAGTTCGGCAACACCTGAGCCCAGCGGTTCTGAGCTTTGGCTCTGCTGAGAGACTAGAACCCCACCGCTTCCTAGCTGTGTAATCCTGGGCCAGTTACTTACTCTTGCCACTTTGCACTTTCCTCATCGTAAACTGGGTGACCCCTAACCCAGTGCAAAGTCCACTGAGAATTAAGAGCTGATAAAATACTCAAGCACTGGTCCATTCATTCATTCACTCGCTCTCTCTTGGGTTCTTACTATGTGCCAGATACTGTTTTGGAACAGAGAAGGCAATGGACATAATCCCTCCCTATCCTTAAGGAACTCGAAGGCCAGTAGGGGAGGCAGATAATAGACACATAAACAAATTAATGAGCAAGGTACTTTCAGTCAAGTGCACCGAGGACAATCAGACACGGAGCTGTGGTCAGGGGCTCGTGGGACTACTTTACTGTCGCCATATTAAGTGCCCAGTACCTCTGTTCTGTAAAGATCAAGCCCAGTCAAGTCATTCCCCAACTAAACACCCTTCACGGGCCCTCGCTCATGGCCCTCTCTGCACCCCAGCGTGCTGTTTCCTTTAGGGCTTGCTCCTGCCTCTCCCCATTGCCGGCCTCCTCTGGCCTCTGTGGCTCTGCACGTGTATTCCGACTCTCCACTGGAACGCACTCAGCCTCCTCACCTGCCAGCTCCTGCTCTTCTCCCCGGCTCAGCCTAAAAGCTCCTTCCTCAGGGAAACCCTTCTTGGGCTCCAGCTGAGGTTAGGCACCCCTGAAATGTATCCCGTTACACTGGACACCTTGCTTAGAGCACTGGCCAAGAGCCTGGTGGAGGGCCTGGTAGCCAGCAAGCATTGAATGAAGTTTGTCCAAGAAATGCATAAATGCACTGGTGGTTAGAATAGGGGTCCCCCCGCCACGTTCTTGATCTCAGTTTTCCTTTTTGGGCCCAGTCTCCTCTGGGCACTTTGACCCTTAACTCCCAAGGCTGGCAGGGCCTTAGATCCCACAGATAGGCACAGCAGGAGTCAAGATGGAGGGACTCAGTACCCTAAATGGTGGTTATGCCCAGACCCTTGCTTTCCAGATAAGAATGGACAGGACGGACCTATCATTTTTTCTGTACTACATCACTCTCCCGATGTCATGAGCTCCCTTATCATTTACAGGATAAACCCAGGCCCCCTAGCTTGGGGTTCAGTGCCCTATGGTACCATCTGGTTTCCAGTCATCTCCTTAGACTCATGCCTCTCTTTTTGCTGACCCCAGGCCTTTGCTCCAACTAGTCTGGTCTGCTCATGCTCTAGGAAACCGATCCTTTCCAGCATTTGCCTGTCAGTTCCCACTATTCTCTGGGAACTGCCCTAGTCCCCTTTCTGCACCCTTCTTCCCTTTTCCTGAGGTTCTGCCCTCATGTTTCCTCTTCCGAGAGGTGACCTGGCCCCATCTTCTCTGTGTTCTGGCCTAGACCTCTCCCACGAGGGACTAGACAGTGCCCCCTGAGGTCTCTTTGGCCCCTGGGAATATAGCCTTCCTTTCTGTGTTTGCCTACCCCCAATACTGCCCCTGTGGTGCCCTCTTGACAGGCCAGATTCTCCTTCATATCTGTCCTGTACATGTGTCCTCCGAGGTACTACTAGGATCCTTCCTACTTTATAGATGAGGACTCAGGTCCATCAGTTTGCTCAGGGTCGTGGGACATGGGAGAGCTGAATTCGAACCCGGATCTGTGCTTTTGATGATTCTGTTCACTCCCCTGGGGCCAGTCTCTTCCACCCTCTCTGCTCCTGCTTCTTGGCCTAGCCCTTTGGCCCTGCATCAGCTCAGAGGCCCCTGAAGAGGCTGTTGGGGCATAGGAGGGTTAGGGGGAGGAAGAGAGACTGTCCTCACAAAGGCCATCCTGGAGGCACTGGCCAGAGAGTCTGACACTCACTTGGTCTTGCAGTAGGCGACAACGCAGACAATGCCCACCACCAGCAGAGCCACGCAGATGCCGGTGATAGTCAGGACCCTCTTCTGGTACAGCTCCTCAGCTTCTGCAGAGGCAGAGAAAGAGGAGGTGAGGGGGCAGGGCAGGAGGCAGATCTGTGGGGACAGTGATGCAGAGATGCCCCCCCTCCCCACCCCCAAAGCTTCAGGCTCCCTCCAGTTCAGGGCCTCCCAGCACCTTTGCATCTCCTCCTTTTCCAGCTAGCCCCTCCCTCCTGAATTGCCTTCTGTTGTCCCAAAGTCTACCCATCCATGGATCTGGTCCCAAGGGACTACCCCTGAATTCACCTTCCCAAACCATACACCCTGCCCAGAGCACATGAATGACAAATGCAGGCAGATGGGGGTGGATGGGATGGAGGTGAAATTCCAAATGCCACAGGGGAGGGCAACCCAGCTTGACAGCAACCTTGCCCTACTCCACAATGGCCTGGTGGCTTCAAAGAGCCTGGATGGGTGGGGGAGAGCTGTTCTTCACAGCAGTGTACCGTGGCCCCCGGGGAAAGGCCTGGCTTGCCATTTCAGCTTTGCCAAGAAGCTGGAGAGGACTTGTCCTGGGCTGGTGACAGGACATCCGACCCAGAGAGTGGACCCAGGACAGATGCCAGGAGCAGGGACAGAGCAGACCAGACCCAGGGAGTGGGGTATGGAGAGAAAGGCCTTGGTTTGTCCCTGGGCCTGGATAGCACATGGCCGTGGCCCATTTGAGCCTTTCCCTTTGCTTTCCAGAAGCCCACGAGAGGCAGCAGAACCCCTGGTGCCCTGTTTTCGAGGTGAAGCCCCCACCCTCTCTGAGGATCTGAGCTAGGCTGGGCTTCAGAACCCTCCAAAAAGAACCAACTATCTCCTCCACCTCCCACTTCTTGGTAGGGCAATCCCTGCCCTTCTAGAGCAGAGAAGACCAGGAGGAAGAAAAGGAAAAAGGTGACAGCAGCAGCCTAGACACACCCTGCCCCTCCCCACACCTGCCAGCTGGCCCCTCTGTGTGGCTCCCTCTCCCCAGCACAGGGACACGTGGAGGCTAGACCCCAAGACCTAGGTAGAGCCCTGGGAAATGTTCCTAAGTTCCTGGGCTTGCAGCACCCCTTGCGTACATTCACCAGCAAACATTGGGAGTATAAACCCTCCAGACACACACCTTTCTCGGACTCTGCCTCTCTGTATGCAGACAGACACCTTCACAAAGGTACACTTGCATGTGTCCAGAGAAACACACATGTACACACATATGATCATGCAGTCTTCAACAGCCCTCCACCTTGGACCCCCCATCTCGGGGCTCTGTGGTCCATGTCCTGCCTCCAGTTCTCATCCCTGCCCACCCCCCAGTCCTCTCCAATGGGGCATCTGTCTCCATCACTGCCCCGAGACCACTCCGGTCCTGGTCACCAACAGCCTCCTACTGCCAGGTCCCCTGGTCATTTGCTTCCCTCCCAGGTGACTCCCCCTGTTGGGTCCACTCCCCCTGGGTGTCCTCCTCCCTCACTGGCTGACATGTTAAGTTGCTGTTGCCTACTCTTCTCTGTGGACCACAAGGTAGAAGGGGTTCTCAGGCTTCTTTCTTTCCTCCGCCTGCCCTCTCTCCTCTCATGATCGTACACAGCTCAGACTTTAAATGCCATCTGTATGCAGGTGACTCTCAACTTTGTATCTCCTGACTGGACTTCTCCCTGAGCTCCAGATTCCTCTGCCCAAGGGCCAAAGCCAAGCAGAAGTGCTGATTCCCCAGCCTCTTTCCAAACCTGCTCCCTGCCCTTCCCATTTCATCAGTGGCAGCATCCCCTCTCCTGTTGCTCAGGCCCCAGACCTTGGAATCACTGCCGATGGCTTTCTTCTCCGCACCGGCTCTGACACTTGGTGCTTCAGGTCGTCTTCTCAATTCTGCCTCCCCAGTAGATTCTGGATTTGACCACTTCCACCACTTCTAGCTCAGTCCAGGGTGATGTCACCTCTCACCTGGACAGCTGGGCACCTTCTGGCTGGCTTCTCTGCTTTCACTCCTTCCCAGCCTGTCTCCAACCCAGGCTGTTCTCCGCCCCAAAGCCAGCAGATCATCAACTCCTCTGCTGAAAACTCTCAACAGCCTCTCCCTGCAATTCGAATCCAGCCCACATATGCACCATAACCTTGCAGGCCTGGGTTATGGTCCCAGCCTGGCCTTTATATCTCATCATTGGTCTGGTCCCTATGTCTGCTGTGCCTGGAGGTGCTGCCATTCCTTCCATGCACTGAATCAGGTGAGCCCACTCCACCCACTATCACTAACTTGCCGTGTCCCCTCCTCAAACACTCTCCCCCAGTTTTTGGCATGGCTGCCTACTTTCCATCAGGTTTTAACCCAGATGATAGCCTGTCACATGAGCCTTTCCTGGCCACCCAGCTAAGGTGATTGCTTCCCCAGCGAGGTACCCTCCCATTACCTTCTTTTATTTTTGGTATGGCACTTATCACCACCTGTTATCTATCCTGTCTGTTGTCTGTCTCATCCTGTGTGAGCGCCAGGAGGGCAGGGGCGCTCAGATCACCAGTGTCTGGCAATTCTGGGGTTCAGTAGATGTTGGTTGAGCTGGCGCATGAAAGGACATCCTGGTTGCCATTACAGATGCAGACACACGCCTGGGCACCCTGCTGCTCACCTCCAAACCCTCAGAGTTGCGCCTGCATGACGCTCACCCTTAAAGATGTCCCGCTGCACTCCTTCATGCACCGCGGGCCCTAACGAGAGGTGTGATATCCACCACCACTGTGCACACGCCCCGCAGGTTCACCTCACGCACCCTGCCATGACCACACACGCCATGCAGACTCAGCCCCTGTCCTCCCAGCCTGTCACCATCCGCAGGCAGACACACTCTTCACAGACTTTAGCTCCATCTCCTGAGAACAGCGGACAGGCACGAGGCTTTGAGGGAGCCGGGACCTCTCCAGTCCTGCCTCGGGAACAGGCTTCTCATACTGCAGGCTCTGCACTGCGTCTGGGGTCTGACCCCTCCGAGCCCTGCCTCTCTCCTGCTGTAACCTGTCTGGACTCTGAGGCCAGGCGGAGCCTCCCAGCACGGAGAGAGGACAGACTGACTCCTCCCAGTCCCTTCCCACTCAAGGTGTCTCCCAGGGGCCGGGGTGGGGGGCCGGTAGCCAGAGGGAGGTAAGGTTCTGAGTCAAATAGCCGGAGGGCAAGCACCAGAGGCCAGCCCACCCTAGACCCTCGCTTGTCTTGCCTACAGGCGAAGAATATGTGTGCCATTGTGGAGACTGATCATGGAGGGATGACAGCCTCAAGCAGATGGCAAAGCCTGGCAGACATACACAGGGCAGGGGGCAGAGACAAATGGGTGCAATCGGCTGCCAGGGCAGTGCGGAATGAAAAGCAATGGAAATGGAAGTGGGAACAGGAAGGAGGATTAGAGTGGAACTGAAGAGGAGGCCTCTATGTACAACTCTCCAAGCCGGGATGCTGTGGCTTCCCAACACCCACTCTCTGGGCGCCTGGCTCTCGTCTGGCCAACCCAGCGGGCGGCACAGTCCAGGAGGCTGCTCCCCTGGGAGGCCCCCCAGGAATGGGCCTCAAGCCAGGGGACACTGCTGAACCTTGGGGTGTTCTGCTATTCTGAGCTTCTTGTCTCCCCCAAATCCATGTCATTTAGGATCGGACGTCTTGGTGGGGCCAGGGGAGATTTTTGGACTTATCCCTTTTCCGTGTTTTGGAAAGGAGACTCAATGGACAGCACACATGGTGGCAGAGGCTGTGGAGGGGGCAGTGTGGATGGCACTGACGGATACATAGAGCTCCGTACCCTTTAGTTCAAATCCAAGGTGTTCTGGCAGTGCGGAAGAGAGGAGGGTCAGAGAAGGGGAGGGACAGAGGGACGGATACAGAAAGAGATGGGAGAGCGAGGAGGGAGGGGGAGGGCGGGAGAGAGAGAGAGAAAAAGAGAGAGAGAGAGAGAAACGTTGGTCAGGACTCTTCAGACACCAGCAGCCAGCCTGTGAGGTGAAAGCAGGTTAGCGGCGTCCCCTCCCGGCCTCCTGGGCCCCTGCCCTGGCACCCAGTCCCCAGGAGCCCCGAGGGAGGTGGAGAGAAGAAATGTTAGGGTCGGCAGGCAGGGCAGGTTCTTTAGAGATGAGTTGTGGGGTTAGTACCTGGTGGGGAGGCAGAGGCACAAGAGTCAGTTGGCAGATGTCCCCAGGGAGGAAAGGTGAGTGGGGGTGGTGGTCTGAGGAGTCCCTGTCTTCCCCCGTCCCTGTAGCTCCAGCACCAGGCCTTCCACATTCTCATACCCCTGGAGACCACCTTCTCAGCCCCGAGCTCATTCATGGGGCGCTTTTCTCTGTTCAGAACAAGGGAGTGGGGGGCCCAGAGTGGCCCTTGTCTGTGTCCTGCCCCCAAAGGTGTGGTTGGCCTACCCACCTACTGGGAGCCTTGGCACGGAGATTCCCGAGTTTATGGGGAGAGGAGGCTCTGGGCAGCAGGTCACTTCTCCACAGGACACCTCCAACACCCTAGAAGCCTCCAGGGCCTAGGCCTTGGGCTTTGAGCTTGATTCCACTACTTAGGAAAGCCAAATGCAACTTGTAGGAAGAGCCAGGTGGGTTCCGCTGTGGAACATGCGTGTGGGATGGTGGGCAGTTGGCACTTTCTGAAGTGGGATCCTATTGTAAATGTGGACTTTCAGAGCTCCGTGAGGTGGGCACCCACACCGTGGAGGGATTAGATCAAAAGGCCCTGCCCAAGGGTCAGCCCTGCACCAGATCCACTGCATCTTCAAGGACACCTGGCCTATCCACCTCTCAGTCTCGGTTACATTGGATCTCTGGGAACTCTGCCATTGGCTGTGCATCCCAGTCATCCCAGACAATGGGATCAGGGGCTCGGCTGGGAGCCCAGGAATCTCAACAGTGTTTCTGGAAAGCTCACCTACCATTCTCACGTGGCCCGCACCACTGTGCAGGCTCCAAGACTCAGTTTTGTCCCTCATGCACTGTGTGCATGTGGGCGAGTCTAGCCTCAGTTTCCTCATCTGTCAAAAGTGGCTGTCCACAGTGAGAGGAAGACGTGAGCGGCCTGGACAGCAGGACGCTCGGTGCGTGTACGGGAGCCTGGCCTACAGCCTCCCCGCGTGCAGTCAGCTCTCAAAATCCAGGGAGGCGATTGTGTTCTGACATTTCCCTCTCTAGACGAAGGAGGACATGGGGGCTATGAGCAGGAAGTCCTGTGCCATTCCTGCTGAGTCTCTGGGCCCAACTGACTAGTCGTGAGGAAAATGATCACCTGGAGAAGCGAGTGGGGTCCCAAAGCCATTGAAGAGTTTTCTTCGGCTTCCCTGCTCTGGGAACCAATGAGCAGCAACCGGGGCAGCGTCTGGGCCTCCTAAGGGGCCTCCCCTGTCAGTCAAAGCCAGTCCCATGTGGGGTGGACCAGTGGTGGCTGATAGGACTGGTGAGGTCCCTGAGAATTTGCCATCTCCAGGAAGGCAGCCCTGCTTCCCTCTCACCCGGGATGGAGTCTGAGGGCCTGTGGCTGAGTCTGCTCCCGCCAAAGGTGTCTCCCGCTCATCATGTTCACAGGCTGTCCCTCAGCCAGGATGGGCTGGTGCAACTGAATCACAGACAGGTCCCACTGAGCGGAAGTGTGCAGGTTGACCTGTAACCATGGCAACCTGCTGCCAGATCTCCACGAGGGCCAGGTTTACCAGACAACGTACAGTCTTCATCCTGGCCGTGTCCAATGACACGCAGTTCCGGGGGCCTGGCCGAGGCAGCCATGATGGGGACCCCTGAGGAGAACACGTGCTCGTGCGTTTGCACAGGTGTGTGCAGGGGAGGGTGGGGTGGGGGGCGGTGAGCAGATGTGCATGTTTTCCATGAGTCCAGGCATGTGCTTGCGTGTTTGAGCATGTGTGAGCACATGTGTGTGTGAACACGTGTGAGTATATGCTTACATGTGTGTATGCCCGTAGGTGCGTGTGTTCTTTCACTTGGGGTGGGTACATGGATGCACAAGGTGTGACTCTTGGGAAATGGAGGGGCTGTCAGGGGAAGAAGGAGAAGCTTCAAAGTGCTACTGTGGCTGTAGGCTCCCTTTCCGTGGCCACTGCAAAAGGTCATCTGATCTAGAGGCTGTCTGGGCGGAAGGGGAGGGTCAGACCCTTTGCTCAGGACTTGCTGGGAGTCGGGCTGCAGGGCGCTGGTACTGGCCCTTCTGCCCCCGCCACCCAGCAGCTGTAGCCAGGAGCAGTGCTAAGCTGCCCTCCCACCATGCAGGGCAGAAGACTCTCTGCTAAGCCCTCCCTACCCATCACTGCACTCCATCCTCACGGCAACCCTCGAGGCATAAATGCTACCATTCCCGTTTTGCAGATGAGAAAACAAACAGAGAGGTTAAATGAGGCCCCAGAACTGGTATGCTCCACAGCCGCATCGTCATTCAGATCTGACTGAATCCAAAGCCTGACACTTAAACTAGCTAGCATTTTCTACTGCCTTTTCAGTAAGTATCTGCTAGAACAATGCTCGAAGTGCTCTATGCCAATGGCGTGAAGAATATCAATCCTCCACGGGAAGGTAACAGCAACGATCCTGGTAACACTAGGCAGAAACGCCTGTGGCAGCATTTCTAGGCTTTTTCTGGGCTCCTGGGGCCCTGCTGACCCTCTGAGCTGCTCTGAACTGAAAGTTGAAGCAGCCCAGCTGGCAGAGAGGCTTGGCCAGTGGCCGAGTTCTGGAGGCTCTGCTCTTCTGATTCACAATGGGCTGGGACTCCCTGTCCGGAACAGTCCTGTAAGCCAGGGAGGCTCTGGGACTGAGGCTGCAAAGGAATAGGCCCTCCACTGCCTCTTTCCCCTGGTCCTTAGCCTCGGCCTCGCTGCTCTGTTCCCTCCCAAGGCGCCTCCTGACCTCTGGTCCTCCAGTGGGGCTGGCTTGGACTCTGTGATTCTTCCGGGAGCCTGGACTCTGAAGCATTCTGTTAGCCCCGAAGCATCCTTAGCCCCACAGCCTTCCTCCCTGGCCTCCAACCGGAGGGCCCTGGGGACAGTGCCGCCTCATCAGGACAGCTGACCGTCTGGGCAGTCCAGCCCCCCTCCCTGGGGCCTCTACTTTCCTCTTCGAGTCTTGCCTCCCAGGCTCTAGCAGGGAGAGGGAGGAGATGATTTCTAGGCTTTTGTGTTGTGGCCTAAGGAAGACTGGGAAGACTCATTCACTCCAGCCTGAGACCCAAACCAGCACACCCCTTTTCTCTCAAGGGCCACCTAAATGCTCCTCTGCCCCTCCCCCCATCCTGCTCTCAGTCTCTTCTGGAGCTCCACCTCTCCGTGCCCAGGCATTCTTCATGGGACCCAGCTGTCCTCCTTGAAGCAGAGGAGGTGGGGGTGGGCCGAGCAGGGGCCTGGAGTGTTCTGGAGGACCAGTGGGCCCCACACGGAGTCCCGGAGTCCACAGGCCCGCCTGGGGCTTTCTGCTCTGCTCCACCTCCACCTGGTGGCACTTGAAGAAATTGCTCCCAGCCTCAAAACACCCCCCAGTTGTGGTCTCCTCTTTCTGCTGCTGGGCTCATATTTTTTTCAGTTAACCATCAAACTGAAAGCGTCAACCTCACAAGCAGAAGAAAGGAAGGGAATGGAGTTCTGGATGGGGACTGAGACCGGAGAGGGCCTGGAGAGAATCACCCATTATCCCTTGAATCCTCCTTCCCTCTGTCTTGCAGTAGGCAGCAAACCCCCAGCCCACCCTATCCCTGGAGCCTCAGAAATGCCTCTGGTCTCTGGCCTCCATGGAAACCACTGCCCTGGGGCTTGTTCTCCCACAAGCCCCCCTCCCCACTGTCTCCCATCACCCCCAAATCAAAGCCAGATAAACTCTGGCCAGACCCAGAGACAGGCTCTCCGAGAACTTGTTTCTCTCAAACGCACCGGCCCACACGTGCACACACTTGTGGCCTGGCCCTGCAGCACGTGACCTCCTCAAACAGGCCTTAAAAGGCAAGTGAGGGCTCCGCTCAGGCTTCTCCCTTACTGCTGCCCAGACCTGAGCGCGGTTGCCGCTGCCTGGGCCAGAAGGTTGGGGTTATTGTGCCCAGTGCCCCCAGAAGAGGGAGGTGGGGTGGGGGGGGAAGCATATTCGTCTCCGAGAAGGCAGTGTTACTGTGCCCAGTGCCTCAAAAAGAGGGAGAAGGCGGGTGGGGGCAGGGCGGGAAGCTTATCTGTCTCTGAGAAAGCATTATTGCGCCCAGCACCCTGAAAAGGAAGAAGCGGGTGGGGTTTGGGTAGGGGGGGAGCATGTTTTTCATCACCGAGAAGACAGCATTATGGCGCCCAGTGCCCCAAAAAGAGGAAGAGGTGGGTGGGCTGGGGTTGGGGCAGGGAAGCCTGTCCCTCTCCTCCAGGTAGACTCCAGGTGAATGAGCTCTGAGGGCCAAAAGGAACCCAGGACAACCACCACTCTCCCCAACCCCCATCCCTCGGTCCCCCGCTAAGTCTCACTAATAAGGCCCCAGCCCGCCCGCTCCAGAGGTGGGGGGAGATTGTCAGTCACCAGGATAGGAAAGAAATAGAAAAAAGAGACATACTGGAGAAGTTGACCATTGCGAACTGCTGACACCTGTCCCCGGTGTATCCCACAGGACACCTACCAAAAGAAAGAAAACCAGAAAGAGAGAGCCAGGATAGCGAGCCACAGACACGGCAACACCCCGGCACGGGCTCCTGCCGGTGCCAGCTGGGTTCCTTGCCACCGTTAGCGCTTGCACTGGCCTCGCCACTCTGCCCCTTACCTGCAGCCCTGAACTTGCAACCCAAGGATTAGGCCAAAAATGAAAAACAAAGCAAAACAAAACAAAACAAAAGAACTAACGAACCAAAATACAAAAAAAAAGAAAAAAAACAAAACAGCCAAAGATCAAAACAACCAACACCCCTGGCCCTATGCCCTACATTGGGGGGACTGCACCCGAAAGCTTTCTAAGGAGCAGGGACTTGTGTTTGTATCTTCAAACATACTTTGCTTAGGATCTGGCATGTACAATCGCAAAGGCAGTTTCTCCAAACATCTCTGTCCGAAGAATCCGTTTGGACATCTGGAGAAGGAAAAGGGGAAAAATCACAGAACAAACTGGCATCATCCGCGAGGCTCAGGTTAGAAATCAAAGTGCACAGTGATGAATGAGAAAACCAAGTCGGGCGCTGGGGCACACTCGTCGCTGCAGGGGCTGGAGTCAGGGCTGGGGGAAGGGCTCAGAAATCTTCCAAATCTCTCTAATAGAAGTGGCTCCGTGGGTGGGTGGTGGGGGCGGGGGTGGGGCGGAGAGGAGGATGATTTAGGGAGAAGTGGGTGGGAAGATTGGGAACCTCATGCTTAATTGTCCTGTGGTTGGTGACACTTCCCTTCTGACCTGCCTGGGACCCCGTGAAGCCAGAACGGTAGCCCCTCAGTGCCAGGCAGGCAGGCAGAGTGCTGGGAACCTTCCAGAACACCAAGTTCTGGGAAACCACTCCTTGCAGGCCCTACCAACGGCTTCTCTCCAGGGCCCTGGGCAGGTTTTCTCATCCATGAAACAGCCCCCAGAAAGCTCAAAGGAGAACTCCGGAATGCTGTTTCTAGACTGTGTGCCTGTGACAAAAGTGACCTTGGAGAGGTTTCATCTGTTCTCTCAAAGAGGGTTCTGTGGCCAAATAAATTTAGGAAATCCATCCCCAGGTTTCCTTGTAGAGTCGCAGTGCACGCTGGCATCTGAAAAGCTAGGAAGAGTTTCGTAGGAGGAAAAGAGCTGAATATTCCAGTAGGTCCCAAGTTTATTTGACCATGGAAGATGTTTTTTTGAGGAACACTTGTGAACATGGTTTGGGGAAGGCTGCCCTGGAGCAATACACAGGGGTGGGGAGGGCAGGGAACAGGTGAGGCTGGAGAGGAGCCGGGATTACCAGCATCTCACAGCTGGCCTCAGTGGCAAGAACCAGCATCTCACATCAGCCCTCAATGGCAAGAACCACAGTGGTGGGGGAGGGTGGAAGCAGGCTCCCGGAGGACCCTGAAACCTCTTCCAGCCGGGGCTCTCCTGGCTGCCTGGGCCGCCTGTCCTTTCCCCGTGCCCTGCTCCTCCATCACTACCTGGCTCGGGTGGGAGTGTGTTCTCCCGTGTTGGGGTCCTCTGTAGCCAAAAGGCAGCACCCACGCTCCCTGACTTTGTCTTTACCCCCACGCCACACTGTCTTCTGCTCTCTGGCTGCCACTCTGCTCTCAAGTGAGTCCCTGTCCTGCAGATTTCTGGGAGACCTGCCTAGCCCTGTACTCTCCTCTGAACCCTGGCAAGGCCAGATACCTGAGGGAAGCTTTAGAGACCAGGCCAGACTGACCATCCCACCCCCATCCCCCTACTCAAAGATGGGTTTGGGCTGCTTCTGCCTCTGCCTCATTTTCCTTGTTGGGGAATTGGGTAACTCCATCACCAGTATGCCCTCGGTAATAGGTCACTGTTTCACATGAATCAGTAAACTTTCTCAAGAGGTTGAGTGTACTCTACCTCTTAGCATTCTGGTGTGTTCCAACCATCAGTAACCCCTTGAGCTAATGGGATGGCTGCCGTTGGCTGTGATGGACACTCACAGAGCCCCTGTTGCCCCAGTCTAGCCTGAGGGACTGGGAGTAGTTGGTGGACCGGCAGCTGGAGTTTCTCTGGGCCTTGAGGGTGTCTCCCGCAGGGGAGGCAGGAGGCTGGTCCCTGCGGTGGTGGGAGTGTGTGCAGGCATGCCTGGCCGGGGGTAGCGGTGTGGGGCTGGGAAGTGTGTCTGGAGAAGATGGTGGGGGTTGCAGTGGGACCCGAGGGACGCTCATCCTGTTGAACAGGGTGGCTCGGAGGAGGAGGCGGCGGCAGCTCACACCTTGTCAGTACACCCTGCTCTGGTCTAAGCATCCCATCCCAGGAAAATGGAGGTAGTTGCTAAGGCTTCCCAACCAGCTCCAGTAAGGCTCAGCTCTCCTTCCTCAGCTCTCAGACTGCTGTCCACTTGGGATGAGGGCTGAAAGGGAGAAGTGACTATCAAAGCAGCAGCACCCTTGGGGATGGAGGATAAAGACCCAGGAAGTTGCCAAAATGACTCTCGGAATCCACAGAGGAATGGGAAAGAGATAGGTTTGACTGTGTCCAGTGTCTGAGATTAGCCTGGCTCGAGTGTGTGTGTGTTTAAGAGCGAGAGGGGGTAATGCAGGGGCAGGAGGGGGCGAAGGAGAAATCGATTCCCACTGCTGACCATCAAGGATGCTGTCCCATGGCTCTTGGAGACCATTCCTGCATCCCTGATCCCACACCCAGCCTGAACTAACCCAACTATCCTCTCCTATCCTTCATGGCCACTGAGTTGTACAGAACTCCAGGTGGCACCATGGGCACAGTGTCTAACACAAATGCGCCCCCTGGAGTTATGTAATATGGTCCTAATCTTGTGCCCTGGGAAAGCATCTTCCCCACTGGCTGAACAAAAGAAAAAGCAGTGGGGGATGGGCATATGCAGGGGTTGGGGGACTGACACCCATAGTGTTGTTTGGGTACTAGATCTTTCCACTGGGCTCCTGGACTCTCCTTACTCCTGCCTGCTGAGAATGAGCCACGTTCAGGAGCCTGGGGCCTCCCTGGGGAAGGTTCTGGGGGTGAGCCTCTAGCCTTGCCACCCTGTGCTCAGGACCAGGTAATGGGGTGGGGGCTACAGAAACCTATCAACCACGAGGTGGCAGTGGGGGGGGGTGTCTGACACCACGTGAGGAGCTGGCTGGTAGTGGGTAGTTTCCCATGGACACAGGGATGGGCCCTCTGAGTTTCAGGGGTCCAGGGGACGGATAAGAAGGAGCGGCAGGTCATTTTTCTCAGCCCTTCCCCAAGTCATCTGCTGTGACTATGGGAAGGTCTGTGCCCAGGGCTGGAGAAGAGCAGAGGTGAGATAGGGGCAGAGAGGAGAGCCCATGGGCTGTATCTGGGGTGACAGAGAGGTTGGGACTCTGCCTCCCCATTTTCCACCCACCTCCCGGGCCTCAGTGTCTCCTTTTGGTAGCCTGGGGATAATGCCATGTGTGCTGCCCTTACCCGGGGCAGGGGGAGGATGAAAGATGAGGGTGTGCCCCGGGCACTGAGGGGGGTGGAGGGTCTCTGGCCTCATGAGGGGGTGAGGTGGAGATGTGGAGAGGAGAGCAGGCAGATGGGTATGGCATGGGAGAACCGCCTGAACATGGGGTGGGGCGGGTGGGGGGGATGAGCCGGATGGGAGAGGGAGGCATGCCGCTGGTATGTGCACAGGGCTGGAAAGAGTCTTGTTCTGTCATCATCCCCTGAACCAGTCCCCAAGAGTCACGCACCAACCGTGCTCCACAAAAACACGGAGAGAAGAGGAGAAAGCAGCGAGAAGAAGTACAGAGGCCCCTGTCTCGCCCAGACAGGGGACAGTCGCCTGGATTTGGACCCCCATTTTCCAATCCCCCTAAGTTTTCTTTCTTTTTTTTTTTTTTTTTTTAAACAAAATTCAGTATCCATGACACTGTTTAGTTTGGCTCTGAATTCCAGAAAAACAGGAGGGACGGAGTGTGCCTGCTTTCCAACACTCCCTGCAGGGCTCTGAACCAATACACAACAACAAGTGTCTGAAAACCAGGAAGGAAAACTGAGTTTTATAGAAACTGGAATGAAACTGACCAGTCTAGTTTCATTATCCAAGCTAAGCGGAAATGCAAAAAAATCAAAATAAAAAGTAAACAAACAGCACAAATGGTAAGACGTGAGTTTCAGTTCCTAGATTCTTTCCTTTTTATTCCGTTCAGGTGTCATCAGGATTCCCAAGAGGCCTGCCCCCCTTTCCCTCCCGGCTCACCCGCCCCCAGAATGGCCTCTGGGTTCTGCCCTGCCCCCCTCCCCCCTGTCCTTCTCCAGCACAGCTCTGAGGACCTGCCCTCCTGAGAGTGATCCTCACAGGGGATGCCCCTCTCCCCTGAGGGCTCAGGGAGTCAGGGAAGTCGGGTTCCAGGAGCCCTGGCTGGGGCTGACCTAGGGCAGGTTGAAATGGGGAGGCAGTGGATTGGGGTACCAAGTTCAAGTTCTAAGCAATGAACCCCAGTTGCCCACGGGACACCATCTTCGCAATGATTGAGGCTCCTGCCCTCTGCTTCTCTGATTTAGCTGGGTGTGACTCCAAGGTTCCTAGGGGTACAGCCTTGCTGGCAGGACCCTGTGGAAACCCATATAGCTCATCTCCTATCCTTTCCACACTCAACACTAGCATTCGAGCCCTGGGCCCCCATGGCCTTCTTTGGCCCCGGCACCCATTATGGGTGGCTGAAACCTTCCCTGCCTGGAGTCAGGGCTGATCTCAGTGATGCTGCTGGATTCCTTCAAGGTTCCAGGGTCCGAGGGGCTAGGGATAGAGGAAAGGCCTGGTGTGTGCCCACGTGTGTGTGTGTGCGCCAGGGGGTAAAAACCAGAGGGGAGGGGCGTACAAGGCTGGGGGATGTCTGTGAGGTATACCAGAACACTTATGAGTTTCTATAGATCTACTGCAGAGAGCTCAGAGCATTTTCATAGCTAGAATATTCCCCAGGGTCAGTTTCGTGAATGTGGCAGCCTCCTAGAGGCAGAAGAAGGGAGAAGAGGGGCTGAGTCCAGGCTGAGAACTTCCCTGGGGGAACCTTCTTTTGCTTCTGGGACAGTCCCCGGAAATTCAGCACAGGGGAGGCCAGTAAGGGGAAGGCAGCCGGTGGAGGTTGTGGCTGGGGGGAAGCCAGCAAAGGAAGCTGGCTGGGGCAAGAGGCAGAGTCTGGCAGTCCAGGCTCATCCAGCTTGGCACTGAGGGGAAACTGTCTAGGAGGCCTGGCCCCTCATTATCACCTTGGGGGTGGAGGGGTCTCGGGCTAAGGCTATAGTTAGTGTGTGGGTGGCGGGGGGATGCAGCTCTGGAGCTGGAGCCCAGAGGCAGGAGAGCTGAGAAGCGCTGAATCTGACTTTGTCCGTGGGGAGGGCAAACGCCTCTCTCTGAATTTCCCCCAGTACTCTGGTGGCCTCTGCCCAGATGCCATGGGAATGGGGCAACTGTGGCACCTTGCCGGGGTCCTAGGCTTGGGGTCCTCTGAAAACCCAAAGTTTTTAACTAGTGCCCCCTCAACCCCTCCTTGATCTGACTGGAACCTGTGCTGCTCTCACCAAGCTCACCCTGCGGCTCCTCATTCACCTACGAGAGAGTGTGTCGGGGGCCCTATGGGCCCAGCTGTGGAATAGGACCCAGCTGGATCTGAATAAATCCTCGAGGATTGCTGGGCTCTCAGCTGCCCTGTTTGCCGAGGGGAAAGGGATGGAGATCCTGTTGGGGGAGCCCTGCCTTGCTGGAGGTAGAGGAGCCCCACACTGAGCTTCTCTTCAACCCTGCCCCCCCCCACTGGGCCACACCCAGAGTGGTATCCTCACTGGGGTCCTTTCCCCCCACAGAGAGGGACCAGGGTCGGAAATGGAACAAGAAGCACCCAGGGCATATCTGGGCACCAGGCAGGGAGAGCAGCCAGGTTTTGGGGTGAACACTGGATGCAGAGTCCTCGTTTCCCCTCAAGGCAAGGAGAGCAGACCCTCCACTACCCACGGCTCTGGGAAATGTGCTTTGTTTGACCCTGCCAAGCTCTTCACTGCTGGGGAAGACACCCTCTGGAAATGTTCATCAACACAGTTTGGAGAGTTGCTGAGAGATGGTGGTGGGGAGAAAGTGAGAGACGAGGGGAGACAGAGCGGGAGCGGGGGGAGAGAGCGAGAACCCAGTGCCTAGGGCACAGACTGGCATCTCCATCTCCCTAGAAGGTGCTGGTGAAAGGGCGGCCACTGGGAGATGGGGTGGGGTGGGCTGGGTCGGGGCCTGCGAAACTGGCACTGCAGAAGCCCCGAGCTCTTCAGGGTTGACATCTCCTGAGATACCCGGAAAGGGCTAGGGGCAGGGGCACACCTCCCTGTCTACACCCCTTGGGGACCTCCTGTCAGTGACTTGAAGCCCACTTTTCCTAGAGCCCTCCGCTTCTGGCCCAGCCTCTCTCGCCCTACTCTCGGCCCCCTGCCCGCCCCCGCTGGTCACTTACTTGCAGGAGAGCTGGTTGATGCCCTCAATGTAGTAGCAGACGCCTCCATTGACGCAGTAGGACTTGGCTGTCTCGTTGCACTTCCGGGCGTGCCCCGACCAGGATGACAGAGTGGTACTCACTGGAGGTACAAGAGACACGTGCCAGTGACCCACTGAGACTGCCTCTGGGCTCCAAGAACCACCTCTCTGCTGTCCCTTCCTGGCTCATCTCATAGCTGGAAGGTCAGGACTACAGCAATAGCTGGAGAGGGAAGGTCTGGTGGCTCCTCCCCATCACCTGCAAGGCCAGGGGGAGGCCCCCACGAGCTCTGACCCTTTGCCCAGCACCACCCTGCCCCCTGCACTCTGGACCAAAGTACCCAAACCCCCAAAGGTCGGGACGATTTTCCATATTTGGGAGGAAATAAGAAGCTAGCGGCAAGTGCTCATTCTACTGGAATTAAGAGCCCAGTTCTTGCCTGCCTTTCTGGGGGCCCTCTCCACCATAGGTGGATGAGACATCATGTCTTTTGTGGGGAACAGAGTCACAGGGGTGCAGGGAGGAGACCTCTACACTGCTTGGGATCTCGAGGTGGCCAGGAGGTGGCTGGAAGTGAGCTGGGCTTGGAGGGGAATGGCCCCCTCTGGACACTTGTTCTTTAAGATCTCATGAGGCATGAGGAGAATCCTAGCTTTTACGTGTTCCTCCTTTGTCCCAGAGGGGACAAGCCTCTCAGGATTGCTGCAAAGGCCACTATGCCCCTCTCCCTAAGCACCCAGGGTTTTCTTTGCCGCTGCTCTCATTGGGCAGCCCCATCCTCCCCGACCCAGTCAGCTGTTGAAGGGAGCCCCTAGGCTTCGACAGCCCAGGCCCTAAATCCTGGAGGTCAGGTTTCTTGACAGGAGGTGGGCAGGGAAGAGAGGCCTGTGGGGCAGCTGGGATGTGGACACTGGGTGAGTGGGGGGGACGGGGCTTTCAGGCTGCTGACCCAGACTGCCCATTCGACAGATCAGACTCATTTGATAACTCCAGTTCTACTCCCCCGGGGGATGGAATTCAGAAACTGGTTTCCAAGGAAAAGTCTTGCCCCCAGGGTTGGTTTTCATCCCCGAGCTAACACCCGAGGTCTTGTCTCCAGACTGGGTAGCACCTCAGCCTCTGGAGCTCTCGCGTTCTCCCTTCCCCCAGCAGCGGCCTCCTGCCTGAGGTGGGCCACCCTACCTGGGCTGGTCCTGTCTCCTCAAGGGGACCGAGTCCCTCCCCGCCCCCTCCCTGTGGGGATGAGGTTGAGAGGAGGAGGAGGAGGGCAGGCACTTGGCGCCCTCAGTGTTTAGACATGTGGGAGACAGATGGAGCGCGGGGACTGGGAGTGTATACACAGCTCGGCCTCTGTATATGTCTGAGGAGCTCGCTGATAAAACCCGGCAGGCAGGGCCAGCTCCCACCTTCCCCTCCACACCCTGCCTGCGGCTGCTCCTCTGGCTCCCCGGCTGCTCCTCTGGCTCCCCGAGCCCCACCCCTGCAGAGGGCTCCTCCCGACACACAGTGCACATGCAGTGGGGGCAGGAAGCCTCTGCTGGTCTCTGCCCACTCTCTGGGTCAGGGAGACCCAGAGAACCAAGAAAGGGCCAGAGAAGAGAAACAGCTGAGGTGACCCTGCCTGCGAGTTACAAAATCCGCTACTCTGGAGGACACCAGAGGTTGCCCTGCCCTTCAGTTACATAGCCAAGGAGGAGTGCAGGAAAAGAGCAGGGGACGTCCTGTCCAGAGTCCCCGTGTGTGTGGGGACAAGGCCTCAGGGAACATATCAGCACCATGGAAGAACATATCGGCACCAAGGCTTAACATGAGCAGACGAAGGCAAACACGATGTGGACCACAGGTTTGGGTCCTCTTGTGGGCATTGGTTAAGGCCGAGAAGTCTCGGCCCAGCTGGATGACCACCGTGGCTGTGGGTGGCAGAGATTGCCCCCAGCCATGCTGAGTGAGCAGTGGACAGCAGAGAGCATGGTGGCCGGGGCCACAGCTGTACACTTGGGCCTGTCCACACGCATGTCTGTGCTCATGGAGGCCTTGGGACCAGGAGACGACTCTTGAAGGAAGGTGGGCCCTTGGGTGGGATGTCTGTGCTGCCCAGAGCTGTGTCCTCATGGGGACTTGGCCGGGGCCCAGAAAGGCAAAAAGTATGGGTACTGGGATTGAGCCCTGTGATGGGCTCCCTGCTCAGTGGGGAGCCTGCTTCTCCCTCTGTCCCCTCTCCCCACTTGTGCTCTCTCTCACTATCTCTCTCAAAGAAAATCTTCAAAAGTGCCTCGAAGAATGGCTAAAATCGAAAACATTAATGAACAACATGTGTTGGTGAGGTTGAGGAGAAATGCACTATTGGTGGGACTATAAACTGGGGCAGCTGCTGTGGAATATAGTATGAAAATATTAAAAATAGAATTCTCTTATGATGCAGTAATTCCACTACTGGATATTTACCCCCAAATATGAAAACATTAGTTCAAAATGATGTGTGTATCCCTGTGTTTACTGCAGCATTATTTACAATAGCCAAGCTATGGAAGCAACCCAAGTCTCCATCCATAGATGAATGGATAAAGAAGATGGGATATAGAATGGAATATTACTCAGCCATAAAAAATAACAAAATCTTGTCCTTTGCAACTTAGATGGACCTAGAGGGTATACCAAGTGAAATAAGACAACCAGAGAAAGACAAAGACCATTTGGTTTCACTCCTCTGGGGGATTTAAGAAACAAAACAAGGAACAAAGAAAAAGAAAACCCAGAAATCTCTCTATAGAACAGATGGTGACCAGAGGGGAGGTAGATGGGTGGATTGGTGAAATAGGTGAAGGGGATGAGAAGCACATTTGTTGTGAGCACAGGGTAAGGGAAAGAATTGTTGACTCCCTCTACTGTACACCTGAAACTGATAGAATGCACGTTAATTGCGTTGGAATTAAAATTAAAAACACCTGGAAGGGTACAGGTGGCCTCTATCAGCCATTAGCATCCTGGTGGTCGAGAGCTTTTCGAGGTTCTGAGGGGGGAAGGGCCAGGAGGAAAGCTGATGGCCAGGGGACGCTCTCCCTGCTGCTGGCAGCTACAACAGCTACCCACAGCTCAGGGAGGAACCTCCGCTTCTGTTTCAAGGCCCGGATCAAGGGATCTCCCTTCATCAAGGCTCCCAGCCACCTGCCCAGTATGCCCACTCTCCTGTGGGTAAAGCTGCCTTTCCTCTTTCATGGGTCAGAAAAGGCAGATGCTTTGAGTTTGGGTTTGGGCATACTGCCAGGAACTTTGAGGGACTTCGCTGGGAGCCAAGGCTATGACTCCCCAGAGCTCTGAACTGGGTCTTTCTGAGTAAGGCCTTGCTGAATAGGTGAGCGAGAGAGCAGGTGTGTGTGTGTGTGTGATGAAACAGCGAGCCTTTCTAAGCCCCCAGGTGAGGGACAGGCCCAGAAGCCTCTGCAGGGCTTTTGGGGTCCTGTGATGCCCCAGGTCAAATCTGCCTCCCCTCTGGGGCAAAGGGAAGTCCAGCTGGACATCTGGGGCCTGGGATGGCCACCTCGGGACGCTCCCAAGTTCTCTTTCAGCTGGGGATGAGGCAGCTGGTGTCACTAAGTCCGAGGTGCACTGGACCAAACTGATTGTTTTATTCAAAGTACCGCAAACTCTTTGCTGACTCCTCCTCCCGGGCAACCAGGGAGGCAGTGTCTCATGAGCTGCTAGAGCTGTGACTGCAAGGAGGGTCTGCTCTGATTCAGGGAAGGAGCCTCAGGATCCTCAGGAACAGAGCCAAAGCAGGCTGCCAAGGGTCACAGTGAGGCGATGTCATGCCCCCGCCCCACGTGGCCACTGCTCCCTCGAGGCGTCCTCCCATGCCCTCTGCTGGCCGCCCCAGTGTTGTAGCCCCAGCTTCCCCGGGGCCTGGGCGGGCCAAGCCAAGCCACCTCGGGATGAGTCATGGGGGCAGGCACAGCTACCCGCTACCCGCCCTCCACCTCCTCCCCAGGGTGTGGTTGCTGCGAGTCTTCTGGGCTCCATGGGTAAACAAGGAGCCTGGGCATCTCTGCCGGTGGAAACGCTCCCCCACACCCCCGCCAATGGGGGTGTCCTGATCTCCCACAGTGGCCCTGTTCCTCAACCCATGTCAAGGATAGGGGCCAGCCACCGGCTCAACAGGGCAACAGAAGAGGTAGGGTGTGTGTGTGGGTGGGGGCTAGGTGCACAGTATGTCCACCTCAACATCACACTCAGAATCCCAGAATTTTGTGTGTGGGGGGGAAGAGTCTAGTCTAGAGATCATTTGGCTCAGCCTCAGCTGGGGAAAGGGAGGACAAGCTGGGTATAGGAGGTCTCCCAGGTTTGCAGAGCTCGGAAGAGACCAGAGCTCTGGAGTCTGTGGCTCGGCCCTGCTGCTCTCATGCGGAGCTGGAGGGAGGAGAGGCAAGGAACCCTGGGGGCAGCCCTCCGGTGCCCAGGGCAAACCTCCACTGGCCGCCTCCCTAACTGACAGGAACATAGGCTGCTGAGGGCAGACAGGAGCTCCTGCATGTTGCCAGGCTGCAGCTTATCTGAGGGGTCTTCCAATACTCTCCAGCCTCTCTCCCCAAGCCCAGCATGGGAGTGAGGCTGCTACTCTGCTTTTTGGTCCGGCAGCCCTGCCCCCTTCCCCTGCTGCCAGCACTCCTCTCAGAAATGTGCCCCCATGTAGTTGGGGCAGGGCCATCAGTCACGGACTCTGCTCTCTATCCCCCAACCCCCTGCACACATGCAAGCCTGGCAGGATGCTCCCCCAATCCCCTGAGGCCAGTGACTGGGTTGAGTGGGGCCCATGAACCCTGCAGGATCCACAGATCAAGTCAGTGACACAGACAAAAGCTGTCTTTTTCCTTGGGTGGGAGACGGGGATGGTGTAAAACCTGGAGCCATCTGAGGCCATGGCCTCTTCTTCCCTATCTGCTCCCCAAACATGGGAGAAACCCATTTTACAGAAGGAGAGAATGAGGACAACAGACCATGTGGATTCTGTTGTGGCTGGGCCTGGTTCTACCTCTGGATTTCTCCATTTTATAAATCAATACATACATTCCTTTAGGTAGTTTTAAGTTGGGGATCTTGTCAGGTTATTTTTTTTGTTTTGTTTTTTTTAATTATTAAGTGATCTCTACCTCCAACAAACTCACGACCCTGAGATCAAGAGTTGCATGTTCTACCGACTGAGTAGGTGCTCCCCCACTCTGTTCTAACCAAGAAAAATCTTGAATTAAACAAACTCAAGCCCAAAGTGGATCTAAGAATGTCTGCCCACTATGGCCGGAGGTGACAGGTGCTGGCCCCCTAGCACGGTCCATTTTCCTGGGCTTGGGACAGGTGGGGAGGAATGGGGAGGGGGTGCCCAGGTAGCCCCCTGGGGCCTGTGGGAGTCAGTAAAGGCCTTGGAGCGGGTTTTAAGTCCTTTTCTGTATTATTTACCAAGTGCCTACTATGAGCCAGGCACTGTGTTAGGCCCTGAGCTAGAGTGGCAATCAGGTGAGACACAGCCTCCCAGAGCTCATGGTCTCAGTGTTTGTGAACTACTTTTACATTGTATAGATATCCGCTTAATCATCACTTAGATGTGTGGCAGAATGAAGCTCTTTGAGCTTCAGTCTCCTAAATTATGAGCTACACCCTGGGTCTGTCAGGGCTCGAGAGATGGCGTAGAATGTGGCATGGAGCCCACTCTGAGTCAACAGCAGCTCTCACTAAGTCCTGCGGAGAAGACATCATCGCTGCTCTCCCTGGTCCTGGCTCACCATTCCACTGCGGAGGTCACACTTGCACAGAAAGTGCAGCAACAGGATGAGATGTGAAGACCAATCTAATAGACTTCAGGAAGTATGCAAGACTGCAGTTGGCCAAGCAGTGGCCTGGGAGCTGGAACCGAGCTGGGAATGACACTGTGGTGGGATGGAGGGGTTGGGGAGGATGGCAGCCTGGGAGAGCTGGAACAAGAGGAAGGGTGAGAACAGACTGTATGGGACTGACACAGGGCTGGAAAGATCGTTAGGGCCACACTGGTGTGCTCTGGGCAGTGGGACGAAGTCCTCGTTCTGGGGCGTCCCGGGGTAAGGGCATGACAAGACCAAAGCACCTTAAAAGAGGCCATTGCTCTGGGTTAGGTGAGTAGAGCTGAAACCTGGGCCGGGTTGTCTCTGAGGTAGGGTTGGAGTGGGAGGTATAGATGTGAGAAAGATCCAGAAAGAAGGCAGACCAGGAGGTCTGACTTGGAGGCTTGGACCTTTAAGATAAGGCAGCAAGGGAGACGAGGAGCTTAAGGGGCTGGGAGAACACCGAGACCCTTCCCAGTACAGAACAGACAGGGTCTGCTCCAGGTTTTGCACTGAGGGTCCCGGGGCGGGGAACTCCTACATTCTCCTTAGATAATGCTGGATTGCGGGAGTCCTGGAGGGCTGGCTGTCTGGTAGAAGTACAGGCAGGCGAAGGCAGCTGCAGCATCAGAGCGACGGGGCAGGACTGGAAGTGAACCCAAAGAACCAGGTAGCCAAAACGGTATGCTCAATGTGTGGGTGTTGGGAAGAGGAAAGTGATCTGTGGGACTTGGAGTTCCCGGGCTGGAGCGGAGGCGTGCGGCCTGAGGACAGGCAGCTCTGGCCACTTTCCAGCCAAGGGAAAGCCGTCTGCTTGCATCCGACACTGGGGCTGCCGTGGTTGGGGTGGGGAGCTGGGGGTGCTGTGGGTGCCGTGGGCTTCAGACCTAGCATGTTCTTAAGGGAGAAGCCAGTCTGTGGGAGTGGGAGAAGGGTCTGCTGTCCCTGAATGAGGCTGCCCGCAGGGGCCGACACAGCCCAACCTCCTGGCCATGGCCCTGGGGAGACGGCTGCCTGCACCCCGGTGCCCAGCAAAGCAACAGGCAGTCAGCTCCCACACGCCCAGGGCCTGCCTTTCCCTGGAGCCCCGCTCTTGGCAGCCCAGCCTCCCATAATTGCCTTCTAAAAATATCCGTCCCCCACCCCCACCTCTTGATTTCAAAATATTTAGTTTTCAGGATATTTAAAATGAGAGCTGGCGGCTCTTCCAGGCCCAGATAACAAAGCTAAACATTTATGCTTCGACTGCATTTCTCTGAATCGGCCCAGATCTCGGGGCTTGATATGGCAGCAGAAGGAGGGAGGGGAGTCAAGTGCAAGACAGATCATGTGCGGGCCTCCCAAGGGCTGGGGGGCAACAGGCCTGCCGAACCAAACCCCTGCAGAACCCCTCCCTTTGTTGGGGGGCCACCTACCGCTGTTGACGTGGAGCCGGCCGCGGACTGTGTCCTTCCCCAGGATGTTCTCAGCCTCGCAGACATACTCCCCAGCGTCCTCCACCTTCACCTTGTTGAACTGTAGTCGTGAGTTCTTTCTGGTTAGGGAGGGGATGAGAGAGGGAGAGACGTGAGCCAAGGCCCAGGCTGGCTGGGGCTCTCCAGCGGTCACCCAGCGGTCACCTCTCTCCATAGAGCCACAGTGGCTGCGCAGGGGGGATCGGAAGTAGATTTTGGGCTCCAGGTGGAATGCTGAGTCCCCTGAGCTGGAGGGAGACCTGGGGGGCTCAGGAGAGCATGCGGTAGAGCTAGAAGCTGCACGTATGTTCTTAATCTGTGAATCCTCCTGTCCACTTTTCCAGGGCTGGACCTTCTTTGGAGCCTTTTTCGGGGGGAGGAAGGTGGGGGTCTCTTAAGTCATGTGGCTACCTCTCTCCTTTCAGCGTCCCTCCCCAGGCCCAGTGTCCCCCCTCAAAACACGGCAGCCACTGCCTCACCAGTTACCTCAGCCTTCCCTTTGGAGTGGCAGCCTGCAGCTCTAGATATGGAAGGCCTGTTCCCAGGGACCTGGGCAGGGCCCCTGAGCTAACAGGCTCCCACGGCACCTGCCCAGCCTCCTAGTTCCAACCCATGGCTCCCGGCCCTTCACCTTAGCCCTGCCACTGGGGGTACTCTGGCTTCTCCCAGGGGCTTTAGCTTCTGACTTCTGTGTGCTGGAAGCTTGGATCCCTCAGGGAAACAAATAATTCCTGCTCCAGATGGCCTGACTTGATCCTCCTGGCTAACCTGGAGATGGACAGGCAGTAGAGATGGGAAAACAGTCCTAAAGGGGCTTCTGGACTTGTGCAAGGGGACCTGGCAAGGCAGAAGCAGAGGTGGATGAGGAGCTGAAGTTGGTGAGGACATGGGTCCCTCAGGGGCCCATGGACTATCTCCAGGGCCAGAGGCTGGGGGCCTAGCCCCCTCCATGAAGGGCTTTGCACCCTGTTCCTGCATGCTGAGAGTTGCGGGGCCAGACCTGGGAAGGGACTCTGGGCTGTAAGTGACTCTAGGGCACCAGGCCCTAGTTCCTCTCTTCTTTCCAAAGACCCTGCCAATCCTCTCCTTCCTTCCCAGGATTTCTCTGTACCTGCCCCGGGATGCCTGGCCTCTGAAGGGTCTATTCACACCTCCCATCCTTCCCTCTGCCCCATTGCTATTCAGGGGCCCCTCTGAGCTCTGGATAAATCTTAGTATCCAAGCCTGGGCCCCAGGGGGAACAAGAAGTAGCATGAAAACTTCTTTACATGATGTAACCTCCTCTTTTTAGTCCCAAAGTAAGACACCAGATTCCCAGAATATGTGTAGTGTGTTGGAGGGCGGTGGAACATTAGGTAGGGTGGTCCAGCTGCTGTTGCCCTAAGCCCAGGGACAAAAAATAGAGCCATGACACTGACAGGAGAAGGACAGGGGAGGTAAGGCTGTGCTGTGGGTGTGGGAGCCAGAGGACTGTCCCCCATCCCCACTGGGGCTGTGCTTTGGGAACCTGGTTCCCGGGCTCACTGCTGCCTCGGGGCAGGGAGGGGGGCTCTTCCCAGACCTCCTCACTCCAAGATCCTCCAAAGGACGGTCCATGGGGTGCTCTTTTCAACAGGCCCTGTTGCTCTTGCGATGTCTTCACTAATGTTTCAGCCACAGCTGTCTGACTGCTGCGTCCCTTCAGCCCTCCCCAGCATAAGCCAGTCTCTGTCTCCTTGACCTGCTGGTATCTGTCTCCAACCCTTTTCTGTCAATTCAAGTTTATTTTCCTCATTAAACAGATTCCCGGAGGTCCCTCTGGCTAAAACAGCATCTCCTTCCTGGCTTCAGCCTAATCTGATGCCACGAAGCCTGGCAGCCCCAGGACCAGGCTTCTCTCACTTCTTAGCCAGCAATTCCTTGACACTAGATGAGCTAAGAGCAGGGGACCACCTGAGGGTCGCAGTGTCAAGGGAGGGGGACACAGAGCCACCCTTGTCACCCACAGCTGAATTCACAGGTGCTCCCCTTTTACCACATCCCAGGTAGCAGGAAAGGTGGAGTTAGGCTCGCAGATATCTGGAGGGATAAAGGCTGGAAATGGAAGGAAGGTCTTCCCACCTATGGTGTGTGAGACCGGTGGAAAGTCAGTCCAGGGCTTGGGGAGAGGCCCTCTCCTCTGAGAAGCTGGCAAGGGGTGAGAGTGGACAGAAACCATGGGGCCTCGGTTTGCCGGCTGTAGGCACCTTTGTTTCTCAGCCAGGTGGTGATCTGGCCAGTGCTAGGGGGTGGGGGGCGGCCCAGACTTGCAGAAGAGGTTCTGGGGTCAGAGCTGCAGGGAAGGGGCTCTCTGGGACTCTCAGGCCTGAAGGAGTGGGGGCTGCTACCTTCTCTTGTCACTCCTAGCTCTGGTTGGAAAGCCTGAGGGTCCGGGACTCTCTCCCACCCTCCTGGTGGGCCTGATGCCCGCTTGCCACACTGACCCAGGCCTGGCCCCGCGATGGCTGCCCCTCCCCAGCTTCCTCAGCCAGGTTCCTGCTGGCAGGGGTGGCATCTGGGCAGCTGCATCCTCTGCCGTCCGTGCATTTTCCTTGGGGCCTACCTCCCACTGCCTGCCTGAGGGGCCTGTTCTAGCTTGCCCCTCATAAATAAGGGAACATGTGGTTCTGCAGGGGAGGGCCCCACGCCTGGGGCTTGGGGCTGCTGGTTCTCTTCTGGCACGGGGTGGCTTGGGCGAGACACCTCAGTGTGGCAGCCCCAGGGAATGGCAGCCCCTGCTGGGGGAGGCGGCCTCAGCAGACCGAGGGCCAGGTCAAGACGGAGCGGGGCCGGGCAGATGGAGTGCTAGGATGGCCAGAGAGCAAGCTGTAGCATGGGTGGAAGGAAAGAGAAGATTCCACCAACACCTGCCGAGCCAGGTGAA